AACCAAAGGGACCAGTGGTTTGGAGATGCGTCTAGCACTGCTTCAAGACTTGTGCTCCAAGGACATACATCTCTTGTTACTTTATTTGCAGCATTTGCCAGAAAATTATGGAGTGAACATTGGAACATTGGTATGGATTTTGAATGAAAACCAAAAAGTGCTTGAGGACCAGTAATTTTAGTATACTAGGAAATTAGACTGACAGCAATTCAATCATGAAAAACAATTTACTGATTTTGCATCAGTACATTTAGTATTTATTTATAGACTAATATTTCACAGATTATATTAATGATTAAATTTAGTAAGTTAGTTCCCCATTTCATTTTAATGCCTGGGTATCAAGTCCTATTGAATAATATTTGTTTCTTATCCCTGACTGTTAATTTAACTTAGGTGAAGTTAGGCTTTCTGTGACTTTGCTTTATAGCATATTGTTGCTGAATTATTCCCAAGTTATCTCTATTATTATACATATAATTCAGAGGTGGGAGTGAACACATTTGCCATCCATAGACATAGACTATCTGAAATAGACTTCTGAAACATGAAGACACTATTTCAAGTGATATTTTCATTATATTAATCAAAAGTTAAGATTTCTTTGGGTTTAATCCCTGTCCTTGAAAGAATGTCCTTATAAAATACTAAGATGAGTGAAATTTTTTTCACATTATAAGCAGCGAAATATTAACTAGTGTATTATGCTATTCACTGTTAAAAATACCCAACATTGTCTGAAATTAAAAACCCATTATTAAAACTGAGTTGGATTTTGTGTGTGCATGGCACATAGCCATTCAATTAACATATTTTTGCTCAGTATTTTAATTTATCTAAGTGCTGCTAGGTAATTAAAATATTAGAGTTCATTTAATTTTCTGCAATTACAACATATATCCTGCTGTAGAGAATAAACAAAAATAGGAGTGGACAAATTTTTAAGAGATACAGGTAATCTCTGGGAAGGCCAGTTCTTCTGATTATTGGTCTGAATTTAAACTTTTAATTTTTTTGAATGCTATCAATATAGTCTATATAATAATAGTTTATTATTTTGTGATGGCGTGTAGCATGATTATAGAGATGTATTAAGAATGGTGCAGAGTTACTGTAAATCAATTTTGTAATTGATTTGATTCCCATCTTCTGGGATGAGTGACATTGACTATAATGATGTTAAAAATATGTCTTTAATTTCTTCTGGAGATGGAGAAGTCCAAGTTTTCTAATACTTCAGGGCTTTGATGAAGATACCTTTTCTTTACCTCTGCATATTAGACACATATTCCACTTGGTCAAGTATAACCATCATGGAAATTGTTAAATAGATATTTAATGTGTGAAATTAGTTATAGCTATCTCCTCACAGTTTTAATATTACACATTCAATCATGTATTTGTATTATTTGGAAGGTATTTTTATAAATTTGACTTTGATGTTATTAGAATTCATTGTACTTTGACATCAGGCATCCTAAGATACAAAATTTTAGATCATGGAGATGCATGTTTATGTATTGTCACATACTCTAATTATAATGACTTCTGTTTACAGAAGGCTCACATGTCATTTAGCTGACTTTTATTTATGCAGTGACTGGTGTATGCTCATTTATCAAGTTTAATTACTCCACATTTTCACAAGGGATAGGATGAAAGTCTTTTCAAAGGCTTCACAAAAAATAATGCCCAAAATAACACTTTATTGAACTTGGCTATTTAGGAACTTAAACACTTCAGTAGACTAAAACATATGATATTATTTATTGGTGCTAAATTAATGATAATAAATTTGTTCCTTTATGGTTATATTGAACATTAGAACCAAAATACTTTTTTTCAATTACATAAGTAAATACCATGAATTTATCATTTTGTAGCTATGTCATGTGGCAATTAATATCTTGAATTACCTACTAGAAAACTAATCAAGGAAATCTTCTATGTTACTGAAACACTAGATTCTGAATATATTGGAAGGTAGTTTTTTGTGTATTGCTAATTTCATTAACAATATAGAAATGTGAGTTACAAAGACAAATTATAGTACTTAAGAAGTCAATATTTTTAAAACAGTAATTACATGAAAAGAAGAAGCAAATATGATTTAAAGCTACATATTTATATTTTAGAGTTTATGTTTTCTCTTTGAGCAAAAATCTTGTATTTTAGTAAGAGACAATTAATTTAGTGATAAGAAAACTGTAAAAAACTCTTTGATGTGAAGGAAGTGTAATTTTATCTGCAAATATGTACAAATATTACTTTAAATTATTGAATGTATTTTTTACACTTATATTTGCAATTTTTACTAGATATCTACAACACTATAACCAGAACTGGGGTGGGTGGGATTTAAGAAGCAAATTCTTTAACATTCAAATTATCAATGTCAAGGTAATGTTCATATTGAAAGCATCTGGCAAACTGTAATATTCCATCTTAAACCAATGAAAATTTGATTCTCATTCAAGATTGTCATCCTACAAAGCTTATAGGTGATTGAATGCTATTATTTGAAAGTAGTATTTTCATTATAAAGTGTGCTCATTATCATCACTGAAATATGTCAGAAACATTAACTTTCAGTTCTTTGCATATACGGAGCATGTTAGCAGAACTAGCATTCACCAGCTGTGTGCTGCATACATTTCATTAGGACATAGTGAAATGGTATTGATCCACTATGTGAGGACTTGGGGCTTGGGATCCAGAGGAGGATCCTAAGGAGTATAGTTCTTAAGACCAAAGTCAAGCTAGTGAATGATACAACAAATTGCCTCTTTTTTTTTTTTTTTTTGGTGTCTTTAGAATAGGATAGTTGTTTTCTCTTCCTTTTTTCATCATTTTTTAACTGTAAATGTCTTAAAGCAGCTCTCAGTTCAATGACCAATTTTTATTCTTCAAGTCCCACAAATATCTCAGTGTTTCTATTAATTTGTCTCTGTATTTCAAAATGGATCAACATTTAAGTCATTAGGCCTATTACAAATTATATGAAATTTTAGGGAGAAAGATTTATGAATGGCAATAATATTTATGAAATGCAATAATCTATTACTTAGCAGTCATTTCATTTTATTACAGTTTTTCTTTCAAGAAGAACTATATCATAGTACTAATGATAGAGTAGAAGAGGTGGGAGCCAATATTTCTGAATCGTATCCAGAACTTTAAACCAATGTTATCCTAATACAGGAAAAATATAAAAAGAAAAATAAGCTTGTTGAGATTTATAAGCAGTAAAAGTAAAATAGGAAAAAATTTCCCTTTACAAATTTTCTATATATTTAACTAACTAGTCTAGTAGAGTATTAGAAATATATACTCATTGCTAATAAGACTTTACATTTTAAAGTGTGCTCTTTTGAGAGAATATGAATTCCATGTGGAATAAATTTTAACAGAAAGTAGTATTTGCTAGTGCAATTTTTAATTTCCATCATTTTATAACATAAAATATACTGTTATATATATAATAACATTTTGAGAACATTTTAATATTGTAGTATGTATAACATTCTATAATCTTTTTAATATATTATGGAAAATAAAAAGGGAAGCAGCTACTAAGAAATTGAAGTATATGGATTTTTATGCCTGCAGGTTTTAAAAATTTATTTTATGTTACATTGCTTTTATTATATCTATATCTGCCATGTCTGTTATCTATATAAATTTCTCTACTTTTGACTCTCACAGATATCCAAACACATTGTCTCAACAGTTAGCTAAATATTTCACTATTAGGTTCTATGCATTACTCATTCTCTTAAATTTTTTCTGTCAAGATGCATGGGGAGAAAAATTTTCATTTATTTAATCTGATATTTTCAATGTAGTTATTCTCACATGAGTCACCCACTCTGGCCTTTCTTCCTATGCATATATGGAAGCACTACTGCCTTCCATTAATTTTTTTCAGATTTTTTTAGAATAATATTTTTACATCAAACAAATCAAAATTAGGGCCTCCCTGATGGCGCAAGGTGTTAAGTCTCAGCACTATGAAGCTGTCGGCAGCCATCGCAGCAGGAGTTTCATTCCTGGCCAGGGAGCTGGCCCACATGGTACAGCAGACCTTTCCTGTCTCAACCCCTACTCCCCTCAGCAGTGTATTTCAGTCCATCTGCCTGTTCTGCTCCCCCTGTTTCTGGTGAATCCTGTCACCCACCATACCTCTGGCCTGTACCCCAGCTCTTCTATGTGTAAATAAATAAAATTAATCTTTAAAAAAATCAAAATTAAAGCCTTGAAAATTTATGTTTACAAAATTAGGATTTTTTAAGTATCTTTCATGACCAGTAAAATTGAATACATTGTTATTTTGTTTATTACTCTTTTGTTAAAACTTATTTTTAATATTTAGCTTACTCACCACTACCTCCTAAAAATAAAACTTTTTGTTGAGTTATATCTCAGAATACCTCAAAATGTTATATATCAGTAATATAGCAACATGTTATATATCAATTATACCTCAAATTATTTGGAAGAGGTAATCACATACTATCAAAGAATAAAATATTTTCTTCAAATAACAAGAAAATATTTTATATCTTATTGTTCAGCTGATGAGGAGAATAATTTTGAAAGATAGTGATGTCTTCCAAAAGAGTAGAAAGGGAGACATTGAATCTAATATTTATCTCTCAGTTCAATGAATAAAATTTTAAGTAGCATCACTCAACAGTAGTCTGTTCCTTGGTATGGATAATCTTTGAGGGAAGGCAGGGTGGACTAACCCTGTTCTCTTTATACTTTTATGTGTATTTTTAGACTGATTTATTGAGCGGAGAAAGTAGTTCCCCTAGAGTCCGAAATGCATTTGTAACACATTTTTTCCAAGGATTCAGGTCACAACCTTTGCAATGCAAGTGTGTCATTATTCTTATGGTGTTTATAACCCTTTACTTTATAGATTGGCGAGATCATAGTTAAAGTAATTCATTCTCCACTTTAAAGCCATTACACTTTTCATTCTTCCTGTCGTACAGGTGACTTGGATTATTACTGGTTGGATCCTGCCACGTGGCATAGCCGGGAAACATCACCTATCAGTTCGGTAAGCGATGTGGGAAGTGAGTGAGTGGATTTCAGGGATAATGTGTCCTAGTCATTGTGTTTTGTCTTATGAGTGATAGGTAGTAATCTTATTCTGCTCCACTATACAATTTATGAGAGCAAACACTGATTTCATTTAAGACACTACGGTTTTGAAAACAGTTGTCACTGAATGATTTTAAAGTAAAAGCAATTATTGAATGTGTAAGAATTTATATTTTAAATGTTTAATTATTTTTCTTTTAGAACTATTTTTACAGGTATATTTAGTTGCTAACTACTTTTAGAATATTCACTGTGTAAGTTTCTACTAAAAATAAAATATAGTTGTAAATTAAAATTGTTTTAAGTAAAGGAGAGATTCCCATAGTTATAAGGAATTCTTTTAACTGAGGAAGTCACATTATGTTACAACCAATAATTATGTGATTAAAGGAAAGAAAATGTTTTTTTTAAAAAACTTCATTCATGTTTTAATAGCATCCCGTAACGTGGCAACCATCTAAAGAGGGAGACCGACTAATTGGACGTGTTATTCTTAACAAGAGAACAACTATGCCCAAAGAATCAGGTGCATTACTGGGTCTGAAAGTAAGTATGTTGGTTTAAAGTGTTTCTTAAAAGGTAAATTACAAAATGAATGGACTGCATTTTGCAAAATTTCTAACAGAGATTTTTAAATATCCTCTTCTCTTCTCCAAAATAAAGTCCATTTAGTGAATATATCTTGTTAATATATTAATTTCTTATGGTAGATTTAGTCTTTTTATGTGAGTTAATATTTTTAAATAATTTTATTAATATGACATCCAGTTATAATAGGAAAATGCAATAAAATATAGGAAAACTAATGACCTTTTATATGAATGTAATGTTTTGGGATGATTTTTGTATTAGAATAGTTTTAATGAATGTTAGTAAAGTTAAATAATGTGTACCTCATAATTTTATTATTTCTTGACAAGCACCCATAAAACATTAAAGACACTGTTTCCTAAGTGCAATAGAATTGATGGTAGTTCCAAAAGAGTAAAATGTCTCTTAAAAATATTGACTTCTCAAATATATAATGAAAAGTTAATAGATTTCAGGATATTGTTTCATTGTAAGAATATCTATTTATCTTGTTTTATTATGTGTGTGCATGTGTATATGTTCTGAATCATGAGGCTTTATTTGCATTCAGAAACTTACAGTAACATTCAAAGATACAACTTTAAATTTATTATTAACCAAGATTATATTACACTTGTAGCATAGTTTGATCACTTCAAAACCATTGACTATTAAAGTTTTTTCCCAGTTAATGTATTAATAGTGTCACCTAATTCATTATCATTAATTTCTCTTGCTATGAAATAATTCCAATATCTCCACTAGTAAATTGTTCCTAAGAATTATGGGCCAATTTTGGAGAATCTCGCTCCTACTTTTAATTATAGTTTTCCCCCTGCATTGGGAAAAATTAAACTTAGAATACAATACGTTCAGAATTATTTAATTTTAATTATGTGATAAAGCCAGGGGAAATGTTAATTATTGAGAAATGTAACTCCAACATTAAGTTCGATTCCAACACATATATTTCAAATGAGAAGTTCATTTACATGGTCAGTAACAGCGAGAAACTTAGACCATTACTGTTTGCACCATGGTGAATTGCTTCCCCAATATAGCCTGTTCTTTTCTTGAATCTTCATATCCTTCTGCTAAAAATATACAAAAGATCAAGGTGTATTGTGACAATTGGACAATATCTGTAAATAGTGTCAAACACTTGCTATTTGGTAGTTAAGTGGTTAACATCTGGCTCTTGTCTTCCCTGGGTTTGTTCTTCATAGTGCCGTCTTTTGTTAGGTTAGTATAAGTAATCAGTACCTAAACTTCCTTAGGACATATGGTCATTTCTAATATAGTGAGATGATGTTTCTTTTCAAAACTATCCTGCAAAGCTCCTTTAATCAGAAATCTGTTTCACTTCAGTGCCCCTTCATTCAGTACTAAATATATCATAAAAATTTGTGGGAATAGTTCCTTAACATGTTTCAGTTTGGGGGTGGGTGAGTGAAGCATGTGCACATATGGAGGAGTAAAATGTAACCCCATGATATATGGACATGTCAATGACTGGCAAGTTTAATTAAACAAAAATGAGTCTTGGGAACTTATAAATTTATAAATTATCCAGGTTGTTGGAGGAAAAATGACTGACTTAGGACGCCTTGGTGCCTTCATCACCAAAGTAAAGAAGGGTAGCCTTGCAGATGTAGTTGGACATTTAAGAGCAGGTAATGTTTCTTTTTTAGTATTTCCGTAGTGTACTCTGTGTTTGAGTTGTTGATTTACAATTCAGGGTAAGTTATATATGTCAATTAAGTAAATAATGTATTAATGCATGAATAAGGATGATTTTCCTGATATGAATACTTAATGGTTGCAAAAATACGTAATCTATTAATAACAGTTTTGATACAGTAAGAATAGGAATCTTTTATTTTTATGTAAAAATAAATGATTAATGCTGAAGGAATACTAATTTTTGTATATAGCCTCATAATGTTGCTATAAAAATCTAAAACAATTTAGCCTTATAAAAAATACTAGTCGTTAATTCTTTATGTTTTAAACAACAGTAATTATTAAATTTTCCATAGTGGTACTGAAAAATTCAGTAGCCATGTTTTTCATAAATGCAATCATAGTCCAATACTTTACACAGACGATGTCATTGTTTGTTCATTTAAATGTGACATATACTGATGCAGTAGTATGACTTTTGATATTAGGAAATTTACATTATGTTGCTCTGATGCCTTAATATCACATGATGAAATAATTTATTGTATTCAAATATACTATAGTAGCAACAACTTTAAAATATAATTTTGTGGATTGTCTACTTTTCATTTTATTTAATATCATATAAATATTTTTTCAGCTTATTTCAGGAGTTAGTGGAAGTCTTTGGTTAGCATGTATGTTTATGAATTAGCCAGACAATTGTAAAGAAAACAGCATAGGCTGAATGTAGAACTGAGGATTCATAACCATAGCACAGGGGAAAGAAGACATAGAGGAAAATCCTGGGCTATATTTTCAATTTTTACACCTTAAGTTTTTTAATTATAACCTAAAATTTATATAATAAGGTAATATTACTTAATTGCATTATAAATTGAACTATAAATAAATAAATTAGGAATAATCAAGAAAATAACTGTCAAAAGAGGACTATAAGGCTTCTTTCCAAACAATTTCAGTGACAAAGATTTGAAAACATAAATCAATACATGTAAAAATTTGTAATTAATGAGACCTTTAGAAAAATATTTTATGACTGTTAACAATATTTTTGTTGTAATTAATTACCCCAAATCATTCTAAATCATTTAAGTTTTTCTTTAATAGACACTTGTTATGCAGGTGTTATAGAGAGGAATAAATCCAAATCAAGAATTTTTCTCCATCTATTATGCATATATGTGACTTTGAAGATGTGTAAATGTATAGTACACTGTTGTCTGTTATCAGGAATATGTTATGATTTAATAAGAAAGTAATCAGGAGTTACCATCTCAATAAACAGAATATTCGCTTGTGTAATGGTTTAAAAAGTATAAGAATCCTTGGTTAACTACTCTAACATAACTTTAACTACATAAATCTGAATTTGCAGATCAAGTTATATGTATGATTTTTTCTTTTTTCTTTGTGTTTTAATAGATTACTTAAGAAAATGAAAGAATGGATTTTTCTATATAACAATTAGTGATTAATTTCATCGACAGCCATAAATACCTAGAGCCTGAGAAACTTTAAAATGCTAGAAGCTCAATTTCTATAACTGTAAAACATACAGTGTACTTTTAATTTTAAGCAGTTGCTGGATTTGAAAGTGTTTAAATATTAATAAATTACATGATATTCTGTCTGATTCACATTATACTCCAGCAACTTTTTTTCCTTCTATCTGTATATAAGCACCATTGGTCTATAATATTACAGTGCTATGTTTTTTATTAGTGTGCCTTTGTTCAACATTTGTGATCTCGTTTTAATCTTGCCATAGCTTTCTCTAATACAGCTGTCCCATAAATCCTTGCACTTCGCTGTTACTTGATTTAGTCATCAAAACACAGAATTGATATAAACTCTCCCTACTAAGACTCTGCAGTGTCTCCCAGTCATTGTTTGTGCAAGTGAAAACTCTGTAGTTTTGTCTTCTACTCTTCTGACAATTCCTTCCACACTGCCATTACTATTCACTTTACCCCCCAGAACTAGGCAGTCTACCTGTAGGTCCCTTGCACTCTGTATCCCACCTACCAGAACTGGTCAGTCTACCTGGTCACTTTCTGCTCTTGTGCTCTACCTGTTAAGTCTTTTCCATCCTTCAAAACTCATCGAACGTTTCCTTCATTCTGAAGTGTTTCCTGTTATCTCCCTGGTGCAGTGATTACTACCTGTCTCTACTTCTGTTTCTCAGATATACTCTTATTGCAAATACCATATTTCATTAAAGGTATTTGTTTTGATATAATTTCTCCCCCACCAACTTTAAGCACAGAAACAAGTCTTTTTTCTTTCATGTCTGTATCATCATAATCTATATCCTTACCTGACAGATTATCCAAAGATAAATGGATATTGTTAAAAGAGACCATCTTCTGCTTTATCACTTACTGATATGTAAATAAATAAGTACATGTGTCAAGTTAATTTGATATTAAACATTATACTTCCAGGTTGCTGTGTATAAAGAGGACAATTTTATATTGCAGTGTTTTTGCACAATGTTGATTGCAACTCATTACTGGGTAGTAAAACTGATTTAATGATTTGCATTCATCATTTAAAAAAAATCAAGTAAAACATAATGTAATAGAAAATGTAGGGTAAGTATTTCTTAAATTTATTTCATATACCCCCCACACATATGCACATGCATATATACATTCACACGATGTAAATTTTATTTCTTTTCTTGGGCAAAAAAAATTTGAAATACTCCTAATATATTTTAAATTTATAATTCTTTTGGATTTATTTTTATAATCAAGTATATTCATTACCTATTTGAGAAACTTTGCTGAGTAATTTCTTAGGTCAAACATTTAGATAACTACACTCCTTTGCTGGACCAAAAGAGCATCATGTGCTTTTAAAATACCTACTTTTTACTTTGAGTAAGCACACACTTAGGGAAAAAAGGACCATGTTAAAATAGTCTTAGAAAAAACTGATTTTCTTTTTTGAAAATTACCTAGGAAAAAATAAAGATTTTTTTTGTTTGTTTATAGTCAGCTTTAAAATATATAGTAATGATAGTGATCCGTTAGTTCAACACATTGTTTACTCAGGTACTAATCTATTATAGGTACTGAAAACAACAAAAATAAACAGAAGCACAAAAATAAATGAACAGCTCAGTGTCATGGAAACTGGGATAGTTCAAAAGAGCCTGCCATTGTACATTGAAGGGTACTGGGAATCTAAAGCTGCTCCAAGTATTTATGAAAAAAAATATTTTTTCCCAAATGATCTATGGTGAAAACTCTAGTTAAAATAACTAAATTTTTAGCTCGTATTTTAACATCATATTACTCTCCTTAATTTCAGAATACTTAACAAACTAACAAGTACTATAACTTTTTTTTATTATTTTATATAACATATATAAAATGCGTGTGTTTGAAACATCTGGAAGTGGGTTAACTGTCATGCAACAGTTTTACATCTGCTTGCTTTGTAACTTTGCCATAGCTACCTGTGTTACCCTATGGGTATGAATTCAAAGCCTTTCATGCATTTTTATTCTGTTATGCATCTGGTGAAAACAATGAAGCATGACTTATAGTTGGAAAATTCATGTTAACAAATGTTAACTGCTATTTCTACCAATAATAAAGCAGGATTTATTCAGAGTATAAGAATCTTTCACATATAGAGCCGCCTACATTTATTATATGGAGGGCATGCTGCTAATTATTATTTTTTAAATGTTTCCAAATAGGCTGTGCTAATTCCATCCCATAGCATGAGATTATTTTTATATTATTTCTGGTATATCTCAAAAAAGATAAAAGATAGTTTTGTATTGTACTGTTTCCAGTGACTAGTAATAGTCTATGGGGGAAAGAAAAAGAAAAAGAAAAGAAAAAAAGGGGAAAAAAAAGTGTTTACAAGGGCCATTTAGTTAACATATGGCAATCAATTTTCTTTTGAGAGCAGAAGGTAGACAATTAAACTATTTGTATATGTTTTGCATATCTTTGTTAAAAAAGAGAAAAGATAAGAAAAATAAACAGAATATATAAGATAAAAAAATACCCTTTTTTTTAAATTCAAGGGGATGAAGTTCTAGAATGGAATGGTAAACCCCTGCCGGGAGCTACAAATGAAGAAGTTTACAACATTATTTTAGAATCAAAATCAGAACCTCAAGTTGAAATTATTGTTTCAAGGCCTATTGGGTAAGGCTAAAAAAACTTACTTCTTAAGTTTAGTAAATTACATGTATTAGCAGGGTTTAAAAAGAAGTATATACATTCATACAGTACATGTTAACATGGATAGTTTTTTCTTCAATTATGAGCATACATTTTAGATTTTTAAATTTTAATTTTTTAAACTTGCATACTAGATTTTCTTCACTACATTTTAGAAGCTCCACAATTCAATAATGATCAACAAGTACTAATATGTATTTTTTTCAGAAGTGAAATAAAGTAAAAACTTTTCTTCTAATGTCAGAACTTGTTTATTTTTAGTAACTGATTTAATGAGTAGTATTTCCTTAAGGGGATCACAAATTCATTTTTCTGTCATATTTAAAATAGTAGTGATTTCATATGTTTACATGAACATTTATTATTCTACTTAAAATAGAATATTTTCCTATATTGTTACCCATGGATAATTACAACTTTTATTTAAAATCAACGAGGTATGAAATATTCAATATTTTAGTTGGTGATAATAATGTTATATTTTTAAAATTTCAATTTCCAGCACAATTTAATTATCTATAGCAAGTGGGATACTTTTTATATCTGTGTAGATTTCCCCATAATATTAGCTTCTCCTGACCAACCCAATAAGTTCAGAATGTTCATTTTGCCACTCTTTAATTTTTTGGAAGGCATTTTGAACCGTTTCATTATAATTGACTAAATGTTTGAAAGTATTATTGGAAATAATTCCCTTTTTTCCTTATATTCCAAAATATTATGGAACCATTTATTCAACACTCTTTATATTGAAAAAGTAGTAACCTTAGATGTTTTGTTATCCTGATGAATATCTATAAATGTAAAACCCAGCAGAAATTATAATTATCCTAATTTTCAAAGAACTAACAATACATGTATCATATATTCCCCAGAATAATATTAATATATACATATATAAAACTGTTAAATAAAGGAAAAATTATAGCCAATTTAAGTGTTGATTATTAAGAGTAAACATTAAAGATATTTGCCAGAAATACTGTACATTCCATGCAGATTTTTAAAAGTAACAACACCATGCAGTTGATGCTAGCTTTACATGATGTGTTCTAGTGCTGAGGTAAATGTAAGGCTGGAAAAGAGGTAAGTAAATTGGAAAAAGAGTCAAAGATATAAAAATTAGAATTTAAAATCTAGTATTATACACATTGCCAATTCCTTCAGATATATAGTGGTTTAAAAGTAATCTACTAAAATATCAGTGTTTCATACTAACTTTAACAAATAACAGACAATTAAAGTGGACTGGAATAACATTTTTATTATTTTCACTCTTGCATGAAAATAATTTTAAAAATCGTTATCTTTAGAATTAGCCTTAACCTGTCATGAATGATGGCATTCAAAGCAATATGGAATCCAAAGATTATATTTAAATAAGCATCAAAGTTGGCATTAGCTTTCTAGTTAATGGAAAATTTACTAGATTCTGTGGAAGAAAAATTCTAGCTCTAGTTCTATGATTAATTTAAGCAGAAAATAAGTATTTATTCATAGTTTAGTAACATAGTGATTCTAAGAATCTTTGACCAATATGGTCTAAGACATTTAATCATTTTGAGAGAGTGACTAATTTTGCCAGTCCAAATACCATCTTTTTGCTTGTTGTTGTTATTAAAACTGTTCTAGCACCTCACTTGTGAATAGAATTAAGACAACGTGTGTAAATGTCATGTGGAAATTTGTGCTAATATATTACTGAAGCAATTGCCATTAAATAAATTTAGATTTAACATCAATCACTTAAAAATATTTTATACAACTTTTCCATAATCTCCTTTCACAGACACAGTAAAATACAAAATTTGTACCTGTTTTTAGAATGCCAAATTCTAATTTTCATTATTGACTTTGAAGCTGATTTTCAAACAAGTTACTATCTAAAAAATTTGATTTTGAATTTTAAAAAATTTACTTTATTGGCCTTGATGAAATCAGAAGAAGTTAATGAAAGATATTTGGTTACTTGTGTCTTACATATTCTAAATTAATCTCTTAATTATTATATATTATTATATGCAAATTATTAACTATGCCAAAGTATGTTTTATAAAATATACAAAACAGGATATACCTTTATTTATAGAAGTATAAATTGTAGATGGTTATGAAAATACACAAAAAAGTACAAAATGTGAAATCAAGGAAATAGAGAAAATTTTTTATTTTGATTCACCCAGAAATGTAAGAATTTCAAAATGAAGTTAGGTTTCAAGGTAAGTGATTAGAAATTCTTAAATATTATTCTGATAATTCTGCCAGTATTATCTAACTCCAGTCTGCTTTAATATGTCATGTTAATACCTGCATATCGTTAATCTCCTTAAATTGATGCAAAAATACCTTGGAAAACAAGAGGTAAAGTAGTTTCGCACAGTCTAATTCCCAAACCAGACTGATCCAGGGTTTTTAAGATCACAGTGTTCATGGTTAAGCTGAGGTAATATTATTATTTATTCAGAATAATTTGCAAGTGTGACAGGAATGGGTGTTCTCACAAGTCACCTTCTAATCATGTAGTAAATGACCATATATTTAGCTAACCTCAGTATAGAGATATTAATCTCTATATAGGGCTATATATGTGTATATGAATTATATATTCACATATATAAACAATTTTGGCTTTTTTGTTGCAAGCTTGAATCATTTTTAATTTCCAAAGCAACTCATCCTTTTCATTTTATTAACTTTGCCCATGATCTTCACCACATTATTTTATTATAAAGATATGTTTTCATTCCTTTCATTCAGTAAACTCTTTCAGATGTGTTTGTAAAGCATATTACTGATTTCTAAAATATGTGTCATTTTGATTTTCTAGATTTGAAGTAAGATATTACCTTTAACATATTTTATTGCCAAAACCTGCTGTTTTGGTAGTAAAAATATTGTGGTAATTTTTGCCACAATATTAGCCTGATTGTTGTCATGTTACAGTGTTTTGCTATTAAATATATTAAAAATTTATTGCAGTTTTTTTGTGTGTGTGTGGTGTTTGACATTCATGCATATTAGTAATTGCCTGAATAGTAACTCCTGTCCATTCCCACACCTGTAAAAACCCAAAAGGATTTTTCACACCACTGAAATAAAATGTGGAGGCGATTGCCTCAAGCAGAATAGTTTGGCTAATAGAATTTTCACCATACCCTGTTTCTTTTAGTGACATTCCACGGATTCCTGAGAGCTCCCATCCTCCACTGGAGTCCAGTGAGTATAAATAAGATTTGTTATTACTAAATGTGTTGAATGAAAATGAAAAATAAAGATTCACCAATTCCCATATTTATTTGATATAAATGAATTGGTATTGCTATACTAAGGGAGTATCTAATTACATAAAAACTTGGTAACCATGGCAATCATTAGGAACACACGGAAATTCTGCTTTGCACCAAGATTATTTTCCTACTCTTTTTTGGCCTTAAAGTCTTCACTAGATGTGGTACATATACACAATGGATTATTACTCAGCAATCAAAAATGATAACCTTATGCAATTTGCAGCAACATGGATGGCGCTGGAAGGGATCATGTTCAGCGAAATAAGCCAGAAAGACAAAGAAAGATACCAGATGGTCTCACTCATAGCAGGAATTTAGAAAACCTAAATAAGTGACCAGGAAAAAGACTAATTATAATAAAGTAAAAATCAAATCAACAAGCAACTATAAACCAGAGACATACTACGGGGCGGGGGGGAATAGGGAGAGGAGGAGGGAGTAGGGTCAAAATAAGAGGGGTGGGAATTGTATGGGGACTATAACCAAGATGAAAATGCATGCATTGTGCAAAAATGAAAAATGATGTAAAAATATATAAAATAAAATAAAAAAATTTACAATATAAAAAAATAAATTAGATACAAATTTGTCTTGAAAAATAATTATAATATCTTTTTTCCTAGAGAGAGAGAGAAAATTCAATGAATTGCTATGTTGAAATTAGGCAATATAATTTGCAATATTTATCTTCCAGTGATGTTTTATTGGGCTATTAAGACTTAAACTTAAGGGCCTCCCCGGTGGTGCAGCGGTTGAGCGCTGGGTTGCAAAGCTGCCCGCAGCCTCTGCAGCACCAGTTCGATCCCCAGCCACCAGGCGAGGGTCCCACATGGCGCACAGACCTCTCCTGCCGCCCGCTGCTCCCCTCAGCAGTGTACTTCGGTCCTTCTGCCTGCTCTGCTCCCCTCTCTGGCTCTGGTGAATTCTCTCACCCTCCCGCGCTTCTGACTGTACCCAGTGCTTGTATAAATAAATAAAGAAATCTTAAAAAAAAAAAAAAAGACTTAAACTTAATTCAATAAATTATATTTTTAAAAAAAATGTCTTCACTGACAACACCCCTCTACCTCAGAATAGTCAGAACCTCCACAGAGCTCAATTAGTATGCCAATAATAATTCTGTTTGTGGGACATAACAGTTTATTGTATTGCATTATTCTGCTTGGCTGGTAATTAGCTCATGAGCAGTCTAGTGAAGGAAACAAGCACATTAACAAATAATTGTAATAATGCATGACAGTGTTGGCTATGATTATGGGAGTGAATGGGTGATGCAGAGGTAAAATTCAGTGGACATACAGGGGTCGGTTCCTTGAGACGTGAGACTAGAGGATTGAATAATCTCTGTGGGCTTTGAAGTCACTCCAGATTAGACACACAGACAAGAAATGAAATTTTCAATGAGAATATGGAAGTGACACAAATATACGCTTAGCAGTTGATCAGCACAAAATTAATAACTCTTGAGCTTGAGCAACAATATTGGGTAAAACAGCTTATAGAAATACAAAATATAAGGCTATTTAAAAGGAAACAAGAATGGAGGCTATAAAGAGGTAAAATATATATATGTATGGGTAGCCTAAACAAGGAACCAGAGATTAGGTTAGTATGTCAAATGCATGTCATCATAATTTGCATACTTGTTGGAGATGAACCCAGAACTGATTTTGGTTCCTAGAGACGTATACATAGTGGAAAATGGTACCAGTTGCATAAATCATGGTGCTCATACTATTTTTAAAAATCTCACTCATCAATACTAAAAATAAACTGGTTATTAGAAGCAAACATTCTCTTTTAATGAAACAAGAAAAAATATTCTAAGTTTTCTTGGTAAAAGAGACATAGCATAAAAGAAATATGGAAACAAAGAATTTTGTAGTCCTTTCTTATAATTAAAAGTCCTCTTTAGTAAAGGAGCCTCACTGGTAGTGCAAGTGGTTAAGATGCAGCACTCTGAAGCTATCAGCAGCTACTGCAGCACTAGTTCCATCCCCAGCCAGGGAGGTGACCCACATGGCACAGCAGATCTCTCCTGTCTCACCTGCTGCTCCCTCAGCAGGGCATTTCCATAGATTCACCTGTTTTGTTCCCCACTTTGTCTCTGGTGAATCCTCTCATTCCCCCATACCTCTGGCCTGTACCCCAGTTCTTATATGCGTAAATAAATAAATCTTTAAAAAGTCCTCTTTAGAGAGTTTACTAGGCTTAATTTGAGTGTGTGGGGAATGGTGGGGTGAATACATGAATGGCATGACCTCAGGCAATGCAACATTATTAGGATTTCTCAGTAAAGCTAAGTTTTGAATGACTGTGAGTTCAAAGGTTATATTGTTGGGGTAATAACATTCTAAAGAAATTCTGTACCTGTAATTGTCAGGGTATACTTCAGTAGCAGTTTAGGAAAAAACAAATAAATAAAAAAGGGGGGAAAAAATCACACTGAGTGGCGGAGTGGAGAGCCAGTCTCATCTTCATGATGGTAAAGCAAATCACTTGTGAATCACTAGAGATATCATTCTCAGACATTTAAGAGATTTGTTTGTAAGATCAAAACTGAGATAGATGGTAAATCCTATTTTAATGCAATGATGAAATCTAGGCACAGATGCCAATCAGAATTGAATTTATGTATGAATTCATTTTGATTTCAATACACGCAATTCATAATAGATGATCCCTTAGCAAGATAACTAACAAAACAGGCGCCATTTTTCTTACCACTAAAGCATGAAGTCTTTAACTATATATGAGGTGAAATAGGGATATCAATTTTTACAAATTGAAACAAATAAATACATTTGAATATATCATTTTCTATATCTTTAAAATAGGCAGTTAACCAAAGAAGACTAAATGATAACTCTCTACAAGTATTCCACTGAAATTAGATTCTACTGTTTTTATTGAGATTGAATTATTTTGTTTCATACAAATAACAGATGCTTTTAACATTTTATAAAAATTGTTTATTCCCTACACATGTTACTTTACTTAAACTTTTTTTCTTTTAATTATTTCAGGTTCAAGTTCCTTTGAATCTCAGAAGATGGAAAGACCTTCCATTTCTGTTATTTCTCCAACAAGTCCTGGAGCTCTAAAAGATGCCCCACAAGTCTTACCAGGGCAACTTTCTGTATGTATTTTGTGTATATGTTAGACACTGTTATTATTTACGCATTGTTTCATGTCTGCATTAAAAATATGTGATGTTTTTTATCATTTGCTGCAATGATGTACTTCACAATTTTTTCATGATTTTATTTGCCTTTATCCATATACTAATTTGGAAATATTTAGAGTGTTTGCTATGTGCCAGGTGTTCTGAACATCAAATGATAGGTTATAAAATATGTAAATGAAATGTCAATTAATTTTTGTGCTATATAAAAGTTTCAAAGGTAAATATTTGATGACATATAATAAACTTAGAAATTCATGTTCCATTTGCTTAATCTTAATGAACCTGGAGCATGAGAATCATTAATTTTAACTATTATTTGTAAATTCCCAAGATATTTGGTGAAACTCTTAATTGCTGAATCACTCTGAAAAAACTAGTTTTCCTCATTGTTCCTTTTATATCATCTGGAAGGAATTAGAGTAAAAAACTGTGGCCATTATAAAAAAAACACATCAATGTAGATTATAGTAGAATAGGACATTTGTATTAAGAACTAAAAAAAAAAGTTGCTTCAAATCGTTCTATAAATAATTGAACTTTTGCTCCCTTTGTAATGTGTGAATTTCTAGAATGCTTTGCTGTTCTTCTCTTAGTTTTATTTAAACAAAGAAGATAATTGTAAGTTTGATGTTATTTTTGAGTTACTTTTAAAATCTTTCATGATTTTAACTTCTCTTTTTCATAGATTGAATATCTTAGTATAGTCGCTTGTATTTATCTTCTCTGCCAGTGTTTGAGTTTCATACTATTCCCCTTGTTTTGTGGAATAAAAGTTTGTTAGTTTTATGAAAAACACGTATTTAGTATTTATTGAGAAAACAAATGGATTCATACATATCTGGATTTAAATCCTTAATATGCTTAATCTGCTTATTTTGTTACGTGACTCTTATGTCCTGAGACCTACTTATTAAACAATATATACTTGTTCAACCATTAAACCAAAAATGACTTTTAAATTAAAACAAATAGTGAAATTAACATTGTTATTTTATAATGGCATTACCACTGTCAGCCCTAATATTGTGTTGACTGTTAAATTTCTGGTTCTAAGTGTTAAGAAATGACATTTTTCCATTTTTCTTTTTCCAAACTGTTATGAATCTTGGTAAAGCTCATTTGGCCTTCACTTAATTTGAAGACATCATTTTTGTATTACACTGTTCTTTATTCTTTTTCTTTTCTCTTTTGAAAATTAACCTGTAATTATAAAAATGAAATTAGGAAAAATGCCTGGAAGTACCTGATATAAAGTAGACTAACAGTAAATTTATTTTCTCATCTTTTCTAGTCTCTGATATATATTCTGCCTAATGTCAACTACCTATAGTACTTCAACTACCTATAGATTTCAACTACCTATAGTATTTCAAAGCATGTTAATTAAAACTATAATCATTAAAACACTTAAAATCATCAAGCATTTGTTTTGAGCATTTAAAAACAAGGAAAATAATTTTGATATCCCTGCCTTCCCTTAGGTTTTTATAAAATTTTTATTATTGCTTTTATTTTCACAACATGATGTATTAGAGAATGTAAGTTAACACTGAAGGCATGACAGTTGTAAGTTATTTTTTAAATGTCTGAAAAGTCAGATCCTAAGTACTTTTAAACTGACATTCTTTTCAGAAATATCTGCCATTTGGTTGTATTGCAATTTAAATTTTCTTCAATTTCTTCAAATTTTCAAGGTATAATATTGTAAAATTATATTACCTCTTGCTTTTTACAAATAGTAATTTCTTTCTGCATTGCTCTTAGGTGAAGCTGTGGTATGATAAGGTGGGACACCAGCTGATTGTAAATGTTCTGCAAGCAACAGATCTGCCCTCCAGAGTAGATGGGCGTCCCAGAAATCCCTATGTAAAAATGTATTTTCTTCCAGATAGAAGGTAGTGAATAAGTTGGGACAAATATTCAAAAATCTTTTCTAAAAAAAGTAGAATTTCCTCTCCTTAGATATAGGTTTATTTACCTTTTAAAGCTTTATTGAGGTATAATAATTATAAAATATTGAACATATTTATTTGTATAAATTTTGATGTTTGGAAATATGTAATATGCCTGTGATACATTTTTAATAATAATAGATAAATCACAACTATCCCTGAAAAAAAAATCCCTCAAACCTTGTATTTCTTTGAAAAAATAATCATAATTTTTTAGTTTTTCATTACTTTGTTTATTCATATATTAGTCTTCAAAAGCTACATATTATGCAAAATGAAGCTTTGTGTGTGTTTAAAATCATAATTACTGCTTACATTGTAATTGAAATTAGAAACATTAAACTCTAGACTCTAGTAAACTTTTTATATTTTATACTAAAAGTTGTGAATTAAACATAGTAAAAATCCCAGTTCTGGGTCTCCCTGGTAGCACAGAGGTTGAAGTCACAGCACAACCAAGCTATGGCAGCCACTGAGGCATGAGTTCGATCCCAGACCAGGGAGCTAATGCACATGGCTCAGCGGACCTCTCCTCTCTCTCCTGCTGCTTCCCTCAGCAGTGTATTTCAGTAGATCTGCCTGTTCTGCTCCCTACTCTGTCTCTGGTGAATCCTCTCACCCCCCTGCACCTCTGGCCTATACCTAGGTTTTTGTGTGCATAAATTAAAAAATCTTTAAAAAAGAATCCTAGTAGTAGTAGCACTTGTAATCACAGTAGATGGCAGCATATACTAGCTTTTTGCTTTTTCATTTACAAAATATACTTATTTTTCAGTGATAAAAGTAAAAGGAGGACCAAAACAGTAAAGAAAGTACTAGAACCAAAATGGAATCAAACTTTTGTCTATTCACATGTACATCGTAGAGATTTTAGAGAACGAATGTTAGAAATAACTGTATGGGATCAACCAAGAGTACAAGAAGAAGAGAGTGAATTTCTTGGAGAGGTGATGTATATTGTAAAGATTTAAGTCAAATTAATAAAGTTTTTGTGATATGAATTCGTTACGATTATTTTTATATGATGTTTTGGTAAAGGTGCCTGATTTAATTTGAGAACTGCCCTTTCAGATCCTCATAGAATTGGAAACAGCGCTTTTAGATGATGAACCACATTGGTATAAACTTCAGACACATGATGAATCTTCACTACCTCTGCCTCAGCCATCACCTTTCATGCCAAGGCGACATATTCATGGAGAAAGCTCTAGCAAAAAGCTACAAAGTAGGTTTAATTTTTTTTTTTGTTACCAGAAGTAACTATGTTGTAATTATCTACTTAGAGATTAACATTTGCTGTATCTTTTAAGTGTTGTATTAGAAACCAAAAATATCAGAAAATAATCCATCTATGTAAAGTGTATTGGCAAAACTATTTACTACATTTTTCTTAGTGAAAATTAAATGCACACATATATGTAAATACATACATATATATCTATTAGAGTAATTCTAGAGCTGAAAATTGTAAAACTGAATTATACTTCTTTGCACTGTACTTATTTAGTTGTTGATTGGTTGACTGATAGAGTAATTTCTGTCATTATTGATGGGTTGCTACATGTAAGATTTTAATAACTTTATACTCAGGGTATTTTTTAATATAATTATTAATAAGAAAATTTTCTAAGTCAGCATTGTAAAGTATGTTTGTTGTTACTCATCTGGTGATTGGGACAAACTTTTCTGTATATTATTAATTTTTGAGTTACGACTAAATGTCTAATTGAATAACTGAAACATAGAAGTTTCATTTTGGTAATCTGGAACCAAATTGTTGTCTTCATATAATTGAATATTTAATGTTAGTGCTGCCCTGATCAATAATTTCCTCAAAATTAATGTTTAATGCAATATAATGGCTAATTTTGAAGGCTAAGCATAAATATTTTATAAAGGACCCTGGTGCCCTTTCAATAATGAGTTCAAGAGAGCACTAGCCAAGAAAGTTCTCTTTGAAAATTCTCTTTGAATGTTTCCACTCAGTCCCATTCTCCCTAAGCCCAAAGGAGGCCACTAAATTGGGTTCAAAATAATGTATGCACTTTGCGATGGCTTTTAGTATAATAATTATTTAATTAAGGGATAATTTGAAAACCCAGACTTACTCCATGAAGTCCCCTTGTTTCTATATCATCGGTGATTATTATCAGAAAGAATACTAAGAAAATGGTATCTTTGGAGAACAAGCATTTCTTTTAACATCAATTCAGCATTTACTTTGTAATTTTCTTGTTCAAAAGTATTGAGTAGTAATGTAATTAGCTTTCAAAAAAAATTTCAGCATGTCCTTTGCATTTCATAAACCAACGAGAAACAGAGGTATCTGTTTGCCTTACTGTTGTGCAGGATCTCAGCGAATCAGTGATAGTGACATCTCAGATTATGAGGTTGATGATGGTATTGGAGTAGTTCCTCCAGGTGCGTGGCTGAAGAGCATGGCCCTGCTTCCCTGTGCTTCTATGCTGTGATCACTGCCAATTTCCAGACTTTTTCAAGATACTGAACTGGAGATTTATAACACAGAGAAATTAGTATTATATTATTCCATGGTGACTGGTGTTCTAAATTATTACAAAAGTAAAAAATGGTGTAGTAACTATTCATTAACTTTCTACTTAATATAGTCATGTTCTTTCTTCAAAACATGGTTTACAATGTTAAAATCATTTCACAATGCTCTAAGCATCAGTGAAAATATAAATTTCATTTTGAAAGAATGTGGTTTATTTCCTCAAATAAAAAATTCTATCTCCTATGTTTTATACTGTATGTCTATGAATTTCTTTCATCTGTTTCTGAAAATAATGTAGCCTTCCATGGAATATATTGAGAAAGGTGCATGGCAGAGTTTAAAATTGCATGTGGCATGGCTTAACTTTTAGCGCTTTGTGATATGTTCATCACTAATTATACCAGAAATGTGTAACTGTGTCTTAAAATAAGGAAATGCTTTAGAAAAATTTGGTTGTCCCAGTCAGCATTTTTTTTTTTAGATTTTTTTTATTATTTATTTATTTATTTATTTATTTATTTATTTATTTATACAAGCACTGAGCACAGTCAGAAGTGCGGGAGGGTGAGAGAATGCACCAGAGCCAGAGCGGGGAGCAGAACAGGCAGACTGACAAAGTACACTGCTGAGGGGAGCAGTGGGCAGCAGGAGAGGTCTGTGCACCATGTGGGACCCTCGCCTGGCAGCTGGGGATCGAACCGACGCTGTAGAGGCTGCGGGCAGCTTCGCAACACAGCGCTCAACCACTGCGCCACCGGGGAGTCCCTCAGTCAGCATTTTTGGTCACTGGATAAGCTAGTAAAATGTTTGTGAAGTTTTACAGTTGAAATCTGCTTCTTTCCTGGTGCTTGTCAGAAAGTCAGCAAAACCCATAAGAAAAGACTTACTCTTTTGGCACAAATGCCTCACTGTTTTTTTGGTTTACTAATAAAAAGCAATGAAATATTCAAATAAGAAGAAATTAAAGAGAAAACCTTGTGACATACAAATGTGATTTATTATGAATTTCCTTCATAATAATTAAAGGTCATTTAGGACAATATGGACATATATCCTCTCAATTTTGCAGCTTCTTCAATGGGGCTGCACTTTATTTGAGGGCAATTATTTCTTTAAAGTCACTGGACAGATTTCAACCCAGTGACAAAGTTAACATATTGGAGAGATACATACAACTTCATTAAGGTTAGTAAAACATACTAGAGAATTCTTTAAAATTGGTTTCACTTGCTTTCTATAATTCAGAGGAATGATAGTCTTTGATTACTGTATAAAAGTAGAAAATATTCTTAAAATCAATAAACCTGGCTCTGTATGCATCTCTTCATACTTAGATAATACTCTCTGATATCAGACCTAGTGAGAGTTTTAAATAATAGCAAAATATATTAGATAGCATTTTATATTTTATCTCTTGTTTTTTATTTCTAAAAGGCTCATAATAATTAAATATATTTCCCCCAGAGATTTTCACATAAAATGTAAAAGAATATCAGTTTTTTTATGAAATTGAAAGGGTAAAAATGATTGTGTATTAAATGTAGTGGCATATTTGAATGGAAATCAGATGAACCCTGGTGTGAAAGTCATCAAGCCTGTCTAGCAAGAATCATGGGTATTAATCATCACTAATGTTGTCATTACCAATTCATCTAAAAATGAATTTACTTCTGTGAGTTGTTCTTACATTTTATTCACATCAAACTTTATATTTTTATGATGAACCAGGATAGTGGATGAATGAAGTGATAAATTGCCAGTTCCACTCTGTATGTACTAAAATGGTATTTAATAACTTTCTCCTTTTCCTGAGAGATCACATGGGCAACAGCCAAAAGTAGGAGTTAAGGGATCCACTATAAGTGCAATAGGTACTTTTGTATCACCAGAGAATACTGTATTACAAATATATTTATAATATACTGATATACTGATGGTATGGTATACTGATATACCATATCATGGTATTTGCAAACATATATAATCTATTCCATCACATAGAAGCAGTGTCTACATGCCATTTCAGATAAACTGTTGATTTAAAATGTAATGAGGCACTCTTTTAATAGACTATAACAAATTATGTGATCAATAAATATTTTTGTTTCAGAAGTCTACTAATAAATTAGTAAAAGAGACAATGCATTTGTTTATATTTTCAGCTGTACTCTGTATTGATCTAAAACAGATATATGGTAGCTTCTATAGATACAAAGCATCATAAATACAGTATAGCAAGTCACACAGTATACTTTATATAAAGAGGAAAGATAAGGCTTTGATAAAAATGAGGACAAAAGCTAAAGTAAAGTGAGGGAATAAGTTAAACAAGTGCATTGTACATTCTTACATACTTTTAGACATAGATTATAATTTTGCTTTCTACATTTCCTAGCGCCCAATGTTAAGAGAAATTTGTTTAGATGTGAAGTCCGGTTCTACATTTGTTCAAGGCACTCGGTAAATTTCCTGGGTGTATGTGTCCTGAAGAATCTCCAAAGCTTCATTTAAAGGTTCTACCGCAACCGGATCTTAAACTTTCTAAAAGTACATTGGCCTTTATTGAACCGCAGCCATCTCTGTCCTTGTTTAATGTATTTACTGCTTTTATCCATTTAGGAATCTAAGGTTCTGACAGCATTTGTGACGTTCAGAACCCTATTTTTCTAACTTTGTAGATACAGCCTTGCTATTTTTTTAGAATAATTCTAGTTGTATAAACAGCATAAAAATATGCTTTTTATAAAATGCCCTCATCTAAGGTTAGACATCTGGCAATCTCATTTTTCAGAGTATTACTGAAATACAGAAAATGGAAAAAAAGCTCTGAACTTCTAACTTTAGGCCAAATGAAATATTAAGATGAACATAAAATAATAGTTCCTACCCAGAATTTTCTGAATGTGGGGTTCATGTTGTCAATAAGAAGTTAAATGTAGGGGCCTCCCCGGTGGCGCAGCGGTTGAGCGCTGGGTTGCGAAGCTGCCCGCAGCCTCTGCAGCGTCAGTTCGATCCCCGGCTGCTCCCCGGCCACCAGAGGAGGGTCCCACATGGTGCGGTGCGCAGACCTCTCCTGCCACCCGCTGCTCCCCTCAGCAGTGTACTTCGGTCCTTCTGCCTGCTCTGCTCCCCGCTCTGGCTCTGGTGAATTCTCTCACCCTCCCGCGCTTCTGACTGTACCCAGTGCATGTATAAACGAAACAAACGAATAAATAAATAAATAAATAAATAAATTAAAAAAAAAAAAAAAAAGAAGTTAAATGTAATTTGAAGGAAAAAAATTGTTATGAAAAGCTGATAAAAAACTACAAAATATAAATTAGAACAGAATAGAAAGGACATTAATATCAATATAAGTTTAAAGAACCCAAGAAAAATTATACTTTTAACATCACAATGTGTAAATTCTCTAAATTTCGTAGTATTAATACCAAATCTGAAAGTTTTATTTATATATCTTCAGTAGTCATTGAAATTGTGCTCCCAATTCAATATTGATTTTCTATAATTATTGTACAATTGATATGAAAATAGTATTAAATGACACAACATGATAATTTAGAATATTTAATTCAAAACTTGGATTGATAATCTTTAAAAATAGCCACTGTTTTTTTAAAATGTGCTATGAAATAAGTTTCATTACCACATATAAATAAGTTTATTACCACATGTAAATTTAATTGAAATTTAATTTAATTTAATTGAAATTTAAATTTAATTTCTGGACTTAATGTTACAGTTTAGACATCTGAGCAAAAAATTTCTTTACATAAAACTCAAAATAATAGTTCAATTACTATTTTTGTTATAAAATGAAATTATAAGTTATAATAGTGATGATATTTGGTCCTTATACTAATGTTTTTAAAGAGTGCCATAGTTACAAGTTTCTTTGGTCTCAAATTGTCTCAAATTGCTCTTTATGAGATGTGTAAAGACCTTCCTTACAAGCTTAGTCATAAAATAATAGGAACATAAACTATTGGGGATTATTAGTCTGCCTTTAATAATGGTGTTTCATGACATATTTTAAAAATAAGATGGTGGTTATTAAATAAATGAATGACAGTTTGAGCTTTCCAATTAAACTTAATGTTTTAGGATTCATGTGCATTTTATGTAGTTGTAAATATAATATTTCCCTTGGCCAGAGTAATTTTAGTAATAAAATAGAATGATTCTTGATGAAAAAAATTTAATTATACTCTTACTATGGATTAGCGATTACTGCTTTAACTAAATCAGACATGATATATACCTATTTACCTCCAGGGAAGTTTATTTTAAGTACTTATTTTTGATTGTAATTAACTGTATTAATCATGCTACTTATAGTTAACATTTGTGGAGTAGATTTGATAACTGATTCTTTGGGAGGGTTAATTTTCTCTGCAGTAATGCTATAGTCATGTTCATTCATAATTATTTTCATTTGAAGTGTGAGTATTTTCTGTGCTTTGCAAAATTCACAATACTGGTTAATAGTGAGGATCATTTCCTTTTCTTTGTTAAATAAGAATGGTAAAATTTTTCATTTTCTTATTAGTGAAGCCATTTGAAATCCTACTTAAATAATTTATCCTTTCACAAAGAAATTAAAATAGCATTTAAAAAGACACCACATTTTTAAGCATTGACTTGTATATTAATATAGTTCACTGTCAAGTGCTTGATAATGTGTTTTTGAAAAGTCACTAATATTCATTCTTTAAATTACAATAGCATCCTGTAATACTGTCTGAGGCTTCAAACTGTCATTTCAGTATCTCCATGTTACTGCAAGCCAAACTGTAATCTGCTCTTCTGCATGTATATGTTATTCAATGTACATGTGTACTTAATCCTTTTGAAGATATGCTACTAATACTGATTGCATGGCATTTATTCTTTATTGGAAAATGACTGCTTTAGATATAATTTAATGTCTTCACATTAATATTTACATTATAGAAAAATACTGATTAACTTTTTGTGTGTACTCTTGCCAGTAGGTTATAGGTCTAGTGCTAGAGAAAGTAAATCTACAACATTAACTGTGCCAGAACAGCAAAGAACAACTCATCACCGCTCACGTTCAGTATCTCCTCATCGCGGCGATGATCAGGGAAGGCCGCGTTCACGTTTACCAAATGTGCCATTACAGAGGTAGGCTTTGAAATGGGTTTGGTGTCCCTGACAGTATGTTTTTATTATAATACTATGTAAATTGCCACAATACTAACTAAATGAGAAAATGGCTTGGTCAATCAAGTTATTTTCTTCAAAATCCTTTCTGGTAAAATTCCTTTATATTCATTACTTAACCTGTGAAACATTCTGTTCTTAATCTCAGCAATTTTCTGGGCAGAGGGGCGGGGAGTGCGATGTGAGGAGTCTCTGTTATAAACACAGTTTGAATAACTGTCTTTTATTCTGTTTGTTAGCTTTATTAATGTTAGGAACAATTATACAACAAACAGGACTGTAGAGAAAAGTGGCAAATACATTGTGAGGACAAATGTATTTTTAAGAAATATAGAAATTGTCAAAGTACTTTAGTGCTTGGAAAATGTATACAACATAATTAACTTGGTGCTTCCATTCATCTGATCTTGGAATCCACTTCTGAAATTTTAGTTAAATATAAAGATGAAAACTGTGGCTCTTTGTTGATAGAGGTACAAAAGAAGGATGGGAAAAATGCAGCAGCACAGGAAAATCACTTATGGAAAATAAGTACCTTTAACTCATTGATAAAACAGGTATTTGGTATTGATGCCAACACTTTTCAAACCATATCAGTGGTTAGCCAGTTATTGTCAGTTCTTCCCCATTTGTCCCTGTGCGTGTTTTGGAAAAAGGATAGACTTTGATGCATATGAATTTTTATAATCATTTTAGGAGTTTAGATGAAATTCATCCAACAAGAAGGTCACGTTCTCCAACCAGACACCATGATGCCTCCCGAACTTCTGTTGATCACAGATCCAGAGATGTGGATAGTCAGTATTTGTCAGAACAAGACAGGTATTTGTCCATATTATAGCTCAACATAAAATATTTCTCTTTCATCTTTTTAATATGTTAGATTTTATTGGAATAGTACATTAAAAAATAAAGGTATTCCATCACTTAAAACTAAACATCTCTCAAGGAAGAATTCAGCATATTCTGATAAAAATACAACACTAGGAAAAATTTAGCTATTTTTATGTTGTCATAATATATGCAATTTTTTGCCAAATCAAAATTAACATTTAGCCAGTTTTATATGTACAGTGTGTGGTTGACATAGATATGATATGAAACTAAATTATAGAGGAAACGTACATAAGCAAATTTCGAATTATTTATGTGGTTGCAATCTTTAGGTGTTGTAATAAGCCATCTGAAATCCAACATAAATAATTTTTTTTAAGTATGTAAGAATAAAATGGTTATTTATATAATTCAAGTATTGGATATATGTCATCTGAAAAAGTTATTATTACAGTTTCTGTAAGAGATTCAGTAATATTAGTTATATACCTGTGTTTCATAAAATGTGTTTCCATAGAATGTCTATAAAGCACAAAATATTGAGATGGATTCTTATATGGCTGTGTACTTAAATTTAGTTCTGCATTTATTTAGGAATAAGTATCAATACTTCCTGGATAGAGTTACTAAAAATCTACATTATGACTGTATTGTTCTACATGTCCACAGATTTCTTTTCAAAGTAATCACATATCTGCACAATATGCCTGACGATAAGCTCAGGATCTGATTTAAGGTTTTAAAATACTCATCATATTGAATATTCTTTTCTGGAAATTTGAAGTGGAGACACTTGCAGGAAGAAATAGGGAAATAGTAGTGATGCTACATCATTGATTTCTTTGCTGTGTAGTCAAGGGCACAGAACTAAAATGGAACTTCTTTCCTCCCTAATTGTCACCCTCATGTGAGCAGTGGCATCATGATCTTCATGGGATGGAGTCATAGTGGGTATTGGGGCAGGGAACTTCAGTTTGAGTTGAGTCACTTTGTTCAACTTTCATTGGGCCATCATGAATTTAGGTAAAGTGTAAGATTTCTTAAGCAGGGAATTCAATGAAGTACAGTTAATTTGTGTGTACACAAAGTATCAATTTTAAAATAAAGCAATCCTAATCTAGTATCTTTCTGGTTAATGAAGAAGCTGCATAATATGTGTTACTGCATTTCACTTGGCTATAAAAGCCAAGAAATCTGTCATGTTTTGAGTTGTTGAAAGCAAAACTTTCAGGGTTCCCATTAGTGTCAGAAAGGCCAGATTTTTAGGATTTTTAAAAGTTACTAAAATAGCCACATGTCAAGAATTGGAAATCTATTTCTGTGCTTCATTTGGGGAACGTTTATTTTTGTTTTGATTTAATATTCTGTAAAATTGCTTTGAATACAATAGCAAATCAGTAACAGGAATTTGACCATAATGTTTGTACTTTATTGTTTAAATTTTTTAAAATACTGTCATGTTGATTTTTTGTTTGACCTCTCAAGCAAATATGCTAGTGCAGACAATCTGGTTTCTTCCCTTTTCATGTTTTCATCGGCATACCATTGGCATAATCCATATCATTTAATGCTTCATAATTTATCTGTTCCACTCACCACTCATCCTGTCTGTGCAGTGAGCTTCTTATGCTGCCCAGAGCAAAACGAGGACGAAGTGCAGAATGCCTACACACAACAAGGTAAATACAGGGATTTGGTAATGGTAACTGTGTGTGATAACTCTTTCCATCCTACTATTCTTCTGTCTCTCCCTTAGTGTATTAATACCAATATGTAAAAACAGTATCCCAAGTATCCAAAATTTACTTTGACTTTTTGTGGAGTTTGTGGAGAAAGTTTCCAAATATATTTTATTTCTGATCCATGCAAACTACTTTTATATTTGTATATCCAAAATCCAGAGGCAGATGAGCCTCTTTGGAACTGTTTGCAAACTCCTAAAACTGAGGAAACAATTTCTGCAATTAAAATTCTAAATGCTCATGGTGTCCATCCTTCTCCAACACACACACACACACACGCACACACACCCCTGTCTAGTCACAAGAGGTCTGATCTTCTGTGCATGGCAGTGATATGTTTTAGTCTTTTGTTTCCTTTTGATATCTGTTGATTATGTTTGTTTGCTTTTAATAAAATCTTTGCCAGTCCATTTTTAATAGCTGGGCTTCAACTCATATTCTTGATAAAAAGTGAGGATATTTGACCTGTTAACTTCTAAACCTTTCTTTTCTTCATCCCCCAACCAGGTCAGAAATGCTGTAATGCATACTTTCTTATTAAAGCATGTAACAATATGATGCCTCTTTAAGATGAGAAGAAAAGGGGTTGTAATATTCTCCCCTAAATTGGAACTTAAAATCTGTTGCTTTATTTTCATCTCCTTGCATATTGAATTTCATATCTTAAATAAATAAATCCTCTTACAGATTACACTTACAATGCAGTTTGTAAATACTGATTGTTGGTTCGAGGTTAATAGAGGGTCAGGAAGTAGTAAGTCAAGTGAAACAAACCCAACACAGAGACAAACTCAAGTATTTTGTTCAGTAAAATTTAAGTAGGAAAGAGAAAAAAGAGCTTTAACTGAGATGCTTGTATTGTAAGAACAAATGCAGAATATATTGTGTATACATGGAACATGGCTCTACTCCGTAACACAAACATGTCTACACTAAAAAGAATTGATATTTACACATGTAAAATTATCTGATTGATAGCTACTATCATGTTTGCTGTACTGTCACAGGGAAAAATTAAGGAAATGTTAGATCTGCCTTTGAACTATTTGTAATATTGTTAAAATTAACTCAAATTCTTTATAATACTCAACTACCCAAGCTTACTGTTAGATGTTCTAGACAAATAGTTTGTTAAGGAATGACTTATTTACAAATTCAAAAAGTTTTTTCCTCATCCTATTGATGTGTCTATAACTATATTACAAAATGTAAAACAAATAAACTTTATTTTTCTAGGCATCTTTTATGTGCCAGGTACCACATGTGGGTATTTCTCACATAATTACATCAGTAGTCTCAACAGAATAAATACATTGCTTTTATCCATTTTTTTTCTTCTTTTAAATCCGAAGTATTGGAGTATACAAAGAATCATATACCAGTAGTTTCATAATTTTGCACAATATCTTCAAAATGCAGCATATTAGAAATTTTAAGAATGAAATTTGAAGATTTACTGCTTTATAGTAAACAAGGAAAAGGGCATTTGAGTACTAAACATAGTTTTAAATATTTAATTTACTTAATTTCCCGACAGTAGTTATATATGCTATGAATATTATTGCTCTCATTCTACAGATGAGAAAAGATGCTAAATAAATTTAATTAAATAAGTAGCAGAGCAAGTATTCAAAATCAGGTCTATTTGACATTTTCTACTAAAGTATTTTTTTCTAAAATATGTTCTGAGGTCCTGTGACATGTTCCATTAAAAGAAAGTTTGGAAGACAAATAGAATTTGGAAACTGCAAATTAAACCCCTCCCTGGAGATTTAATATGCACAAAATATTAAGTCATGTACTAAATAAATCTGTTTCATATTATTTAATTCATTTCCCCCAAATTATTTAGCCATCAAACCCATTTTTCATGAAACATGTCCTGAGAAATAGTATTGTACAGAAAATGTTGTAGCTGCCTTGCTGTGTCCTGGCTACTTTATATCTGATACCTCATTTAATTCTCATAGCATCCTGGTTAAGTAGATGTCTTTTCTCCCATTCTATAGATGTAGCAAAGGCTTAGTGGCTTGATCTGAATTACCAGGATCACACCCAGTGAGTGGCAAGCCTAGTATTAGGACTTCAAACTAGTATATATTATATGCTATTTTCCATTATGCTTCCCACTCTATCCTGATCCGTGCTAAAATATTTATGGAAAAAATCACTTTTGAAATAATTGTTTAGAAAAGTTACATAACAACCTGTTATTAAAAAAAGATTTGGTTTTCGCCCGCCTTCGGTCTCTGCGTCTTTCACAGAGCTCCCGACTGCGCTATGTTGGGACAGAGCATCCAGAGATTCACGACCTCTGTGGTCCGTAGGAGCCACTATGAGGAGGGCCCAGGGAAGAATTTGCCATTTTCTGTGGAAAACAAGTGGCAGTTACTACTTATGATGACTGTGTACTTAGGTTCTGGATTTGCTGCACCTTTCTTCATAGTAAGGCACCAACTGCTTAAGAAATAAGGACGTTTTAGTTCATCCATGAAACAGATATGAAGAGGATCATTTTAAGAAGTGCAATTTCTTTGAAAAGTCAAACTCTCAAACTCAACATACTAAATATATTTGTAAATAAACTTATGGCATGACTCCTTAAAAAAAAAAAAAAGATTTGGCTTAGGGTAGAAATTGAGAAGAGAACTGTTGCCTATAAGATAGGCTCAATCCTTGGTTTTAGTAAAATTTGTAGTCTGCTTTCAGACATTTTTAAAGTGAAACTTCAATAAGGAATTTCTGTTCATTTGACTCTAAGTATAACATGAGTAAGCCTGTAGTGTCTTTGATGCTTATTGTGCTCAGCATATGTTTTTTCCCTTCTCTGTCATATATTAATGTAGGCAAAATTGGACAATGGACTTTCATAGTCAGCAGTTAAATTTGTAAAGCCATCATTAAAACATTAAAAATTTAATTAACTGGACCTTGCTTGTCCAACCCAGAAATATTCAGAGATTTTAAAAACATTCAGATAAATTTTGGCCTTGTTTCTGTTATATTCTGCCAATTCAGAATTCTTATTCTGGTTTGCATCTAATGCTTGCTTTACCCAATTTGCAGATCTTTGGATTTGGATTCAGAAGCTGATAAATGAAAAGAATTTGTTCCTTTGTAATGACCTCATGGTCTTGCTTTGTCCTTTCTTTACCCTAATCCAGTACCATAATCAATCTCGTCACATAATCCTGGCTACTTCTTTTCTTGTTACTAATATATTAATTCTTTCAGCAATACCTAAATTTTCAAATTACGTAAAACATATGATTATTACTTTAAGCTATGAGTTGTTTACTTCTGTAGAAGCCTATACAATATTAAATCAGGGATTAAATAGTAAATTTAAATATTATTTAATTCATAGAGTTTACTTAGTAGTTCTTTTAAAATGAAGGTAATTAAATGATAATTTGGAGTATTTATCTTAATTATGATGTTAGGTGTCTTTGGGTCCATATTTTAATACTTCTGAAAGTCCTGACTTCAAATAATTACTGTCTTCTTCTGAGGGGGGAAAACCCACAAAGGTCCATCTTCATCTGTAGATCTATAGGCCCACTTTTTTCATATCCAAGAAAAATTTGTTTCATAAGTACTTTTCTGTTTTGTGTACATTTGTGTTGCCACACACCACTATAAAACATTCCCACCCAAGATGCCTTTATTAGAGAACAGTTCTCTTTGGGACATATATAGGGAAGAGTCAAAACAATGAGTCCCAGTTATAACTAATCCCTCATCCATTCCCTGCTAAAAATAACAAATGTGTAGCACTCTAATAAAGAATAAACATTTCTTGTTGAAATTAATAATATACACAGAAATGTTAAATATCTAAAGATAGTTTTAATTGTAAAATTTATTCTATCTAAATGATATCTTACTCAAATATCAGAATTCTAGTCGTTGCCTTTGTCATTTTTTGTTGTTGTTGTGTACTTGTTGATTTTAAGTATAATTAGTTTTATTTTATTTTTGGTTAATTTTAATTTGTGAAGCTCAGTTCTGCCTGCACATACTAAAATCAAATCAGTGACTAGACAGGACTTCCCTCTTCATCATGAATGCTTTAACTCAAGAGTTTGGAGATTTACTGATAAAATATTGGTTAGGTAAGACCATTTGGAAGTTATACCTTCCACTTCCCTTGTCTATTGTTGTGACCCAAAATAGTCCAGTTGTAAATTTTTTCTCTTCTGATGTCCTTCATTTTGTTTTGGTGTGGCATCTGTTCTTGGTAATGAAGTTCTAGGCATTTTGTTTTAGTGCTTTCTGTATCCAGTTTTTCATAAGTAGGTGTGATTTAGTCTCATTTTCCAATCTGAGACCCTTTGAAAAAATTATGCAAAGCAATTCAAGCATAAACTTTGTTTAGTTTCACTTTCTAAACAAAATTTTGCACTGTCATCCTGTCAGCTCTCTCACACCCTTATGAACTGAATCGCAGTGATTCTACATTTTATGTAAAGGGGACATTATTTTATGCTTTACTCTCTAACATGGTCTTCCTTTCTTTGTTTTCTTTGTCTTTCTCTTCTACCATTGGATGCAATGCACTGGCACTAGTGAACTGCAGCCCTCCCTTGACAGGGCTAGGAGTGCTAGTACCAACTGCTTGAGACCAGATACTAGTTTGCATTCACCAGAACGAGAAAGGTATAAAATAAAGACTTTCTTAATTTTCTATCATCTGTACTAGTGTTTTATTTTTTTTCAATCACTTTGTTTTGTTCCATGTGAGTCTCAGGTTTATACACTCATGTTCACTTTGCTAACTGTCTACATCTCCCCCTCCCCCATTATATGCGTGTATGAGAGATATGTGTATGTGGACAATACCAAGGGTGCATATACACATATTTCCATGAATGTTGTTGCAAATGATGTGAAGTAATTTGTAGCTGCTTCTGGCTGCTGCTTTTTCCCTTCTGTTGCTAATTAATAGTTTTGTTTGCAAACTACTACTCAGGGAGCCTTCAGTATGCTGATAAAGTTATGAAGTCCAGTGAGTTATCTGAAGAGGATGATCATTTCCCTGATTGTTCCACTGATAAAATGTTACAGGTGTACAGTTGGTTTAACAGTAGTTTTCCTATATACTCAAAGCAAAAACTCTGTTTACATAAATGGCTTCCCTTGTTCATCTTTATTTCTTTTACTCAACCTACTCTTGGATATAGACCATGCTTTACATTAAATTGTATTTTGATGACAAATGATACTGTATTTATCGTAGATTTCTTGATGACATAAAATGAATGCACATAATATGTATGTGTATACACATACATATGTATATAATTTTACTTAAAACTTTTAATTGATTAATAAGTGACTCACTTTAACTCAAGTATATTCAGTTATGTATTATACTGTCTCCTAATTGCATGCAGTTGATTTTTCCATTATGGCAGAGCTTTATATTCCGCGGCACTTGGTTATCTATAATTGTTACCTTTTTTCAATTAGAAGTCTTTCAGTGTACTACCCCTTACTAATTTTAAGAAAAAATATTTAGTTGTGCTCATATAATGAACTTATTCAGAGTCAACTTAAAGTGGTTTTTTTAGTCATCTTTCTAGTTTTATATTCCTTTCCTTATGAGATGTGGAATAATATAGCTATAGAGACCCATTTTTAGTATCTGTAAGATTCTGCTAAAAATCTGCTTTTTTCTCTTTTACATTTGTAAACTTTATCGTGGAAAATAATGAAATTTAACATATTTTGTATCCCTTTACATTTGTAAAGAAATTTTAGTTGAAATGACTATAGACTCTTCTGAAATCACAGTTGAAATAGTTTTAGGATTCTCTTATTACATATTACAACTCAAAAAATGTTAAGAGTAGCAAGGAAAATCTTAATTTTTAATATTTAGTTTTAAAACAAAAATAGATTTGCTTAAATCAGTGGAATCTTCTGGCTTTAATATTTTTCATGTCATCCATATCAGTGCTATCTAACAGAAGGACAATGCAACCCACATATGTAGGTTTCTGGTTGACATGTAGTCAAGGTGTAATTACTTTTAATATTTTAACCCATTCTATCTAAATTTATCTAAATTATTATCATTTTAACATGTACTAATTAAACACTGTGAGATACTTTGTGTTCCTTCTTTCTTAGTGCTCAATAGCCACATTTGCCTGTAGCTTCTGTATTGGGCGTAGTTAATTGATTCTTCTGCTGAAGTTTCTCTGGCTTGTGTTCCCATTAGACTGAAGCCATAGAATTTACATAGAAATATATATGTTGATGTATGGCAACATGCTTATCTCTCAGCTAGTACCCTTAAGCAGTTTAACCTATAGATAAATAACATGGCTACAGTTATTGTACAGGTCTTCATGAGTTAAAGTGACTTTAGGTAGAAGAAGGAAAATATGATTTAAAACCTGTAATCATTGTATAGATTGGATAAAAAGAAATTTTCCTCTATAATGAAAGGGGCAAAGGATTAGAGTTAACAATGATCTTTACTTTATTGGGGTCACTTATCTATGAGAAGATAAAGTGAGATCAGTTTGCATCAAAAAATTTACAAAAATTGTAGATGCTTATTGGGTTAGGGGATAAGGACCACAAACAGTATCAACAGTAGTAACTTTGTTCTCTGTGGGAAAAGCATTGAAAGTCCCAGATAGAATGTGCAGAGTTAGAAGAGAGAGGCTGAGAGGTTTTTCCAGAATAATTAATTTCTTTGATTAACCAGAAACCTCATCTGTTAAAGATTACTGTATACAGAGTAGATAATATGTTAGAGTAATTTTTCATGTAATTTTATGTTATTAAGATATTTCTACAACCTTGAGAACTATTAAGGTTAAATAATTTGTGAATCCCAAACCATCTTGATTAATATTTATATGCTGTTGTACCAACTTCATACCCTTTTCTGAAATGTCCTTACTAATTTTAAACAAATTAAGATTTTTATTAATACCAAGGATAAAATTGTCATAGCCTACTCAATAACCAGCACCATAATCATCATTCAAAAGTTAAGGAACACCAGGCATAGATGCTGTGCTCTTTCTTTTCCTGAAGGAGTCCAAAATCATCATCAGCCCCACCTTTGCTCCCTTATTAGGATGTTTTTGCCCAGGTTAACCAATAAATTTTGGGTAACGCATGTGTAAGTGCTGTTTGTGAAGACAGCTGTCTTAGTTTTGGAACTTGTCTGTTTTGTTTTTAATGTTTTACACAAACCACAAAAATATTTATGAGTTACTCTATTCTCTAGTCATGACCCATACATAAAGAAATTTGACTTTTATTTACAGTGAAAAGTCTAGAAAGACTAACTTTATCCTACTAAAGACATCTAATACATAAGAACTGTTTTTTATTTTTTTCACTAACAAATACCATAGCTGCATGTTTACAAGGAGATCTGGTCAAGGTCATAGTATTTTTCCTCCATTTTTACCAGGGTCTAATTGAGGCCATTCATTCCCTCTTGTTCTTTGGGAAAGAATGAGCTACAGGCCTGCTGGTACTCTTTCCTTTTCCAGACTTTGTAACAAATTATTGCTTAAATGTATAGAAACAATGATTTTTAGAGCCACTGAAGAATAATTACTTTTCTTCAATGATTTATCTCCTTTCATGACCTTTCACAGAAATAACCTTACTGGAGGCCTATCAAAGTGTAACCTAGGATTCTATATTGTTTCTTTGCTGTCTCTAGTCCCCTATTGACAGAATTATTATTTTTCATTTAGTAAGTGCCAATTGGGAGATTTTGATGACTTGGAAAATAGCCCTATTTTTCACTCTTCAATTTGATTCTGATGTGAGCTAGACTCAGGGGAACTAGAACTGGAAGACGGAGACCTGATTGTCACTGTAAATATAATGAACAAGTTAAAAGCCATGACTTTTAGTCTGTAAGCTTGCTAATAACTCATCTCAGAACCAGCGAGATTCACTGAACCACAACAGCCTTTTTCAGGCTCACATCTTATGACTGTCTAATAGGTTTGTTGGCTTTGAAGTTTATTGTTTGTAAGTAGCTTGAACATTGGAAAGAGTAAACCAGAAAGGATTAAGTCATTTGTGCCTGATTCTTAACACCAAGTCACTTCTTGTGTAAGCCACTCACTCCTTGAGTGAGGAAAAGGGTAGAGAAAGATCAAGAGCATCAGTTCCCTCCCCACCTCCACGTGGAAGTGTAAGACCTGAGGGAAAGGAGTTCCTACTGAAAACTTTAAAGTGAAATTAAATAAACTTTGTTTCAAAGTGTAAAATCCTCTATTTCAATTTAAAATAATATTGGGGAAAATGTTTTTAAAGGGCTGAAAAAGATAATGGGGGAATCGAAAGTAAATATAAATAATGTATGATCAATTATTTCATTTGTTCACTTTTGATTTCTAAAATATAATAGTTTATGAATATTTTTATTTGTGATATTTACTGAATTAATTATTTACATTTACATATAATTTCTCTCTTAGACAATTAAGCCATGTAGCTATATTCTGCCAAGAGATACACACCAATGAAAGATGTGTGCATATGTTAAGTGTGTATACCAATTGCTCATTTAAATACATATGCCCATATTTGTTTTAAAGTGTATTAGTGCCAGGGATAAGGAGTTATAACCTAAAAATTAGTTAATTGTTTACTAAGGCCTATCAATTCTAACTTCTTTATATCTCATCAGTGGACCCCCTTAGCACTGTTAATTTCTTAGTTACAGTTCTCATATATTACCTGTATTATTACCTCAAAATCTAGAGTCTTATCTCCTTATCATCTACTTTAATATTGACTAACATATATTGATTGTTTATTCTGTGCATAGTTGATATAGCTGTCAGAAAAAAAAAAAAAACACTATTGTTGCCTTTTGCAGAGTTCAATCCCCATGTTGACTTTTCTTCTATTCTGAGCACAGTGAAAGGGAAGGGTCCCCAAAATTTAGGTATTCCTGAATTAATGTGTTTGGATTACTGATATTAAAGTACTAATATGTAACTAATGTAGTTTGCAGTCTTATTTGGAAGGCAAAATCAAGAAGGGGCTGATTTAGTTCAACTTTCTGTTCAATAACTCCAACATAGCTTATTATAAGATGAAAATGGAAGTTGAAGATCTATGTAGCTCATACCAGGAGGATAAAGATTCTAATTAGGTGCTTTCTTCTGTGATAGGAGAAAAAGATAAAGTTGTACACACTTTAAAACATGTGAAATATATTAGTTGATTTGAAATTTACAAATGTATGATGTTTAAAGTTTTATTTGTTCTTTGAACTGAAATTAGTTATAAATGATTCTCCTCTCCTATCCACTACATAAGGGAAAAGGAAACAGATTTCTTACATTGATAGTATATATCAGCATATTCAGAAGGACTTTGAGTATACAGATATATATGTATCATGTTAAATATGTCTTTAAAAATTGTCTTGTAATAGTTTGCTTTTACATTTGCTTGTTTCTAAATGTATATCTTTCGCCTTCATAGCTTTTGCTGCATGTTTCATAGTTATAGCAATTTTATTTACTTTTATTTTTAAATTAAAAACAAGGACTGGAATTTTGCCTCAGGAAGCAGAGTTACTCATAATCCTATCGAGTTAATAATACTCTACAGAAAAACAAATTATGTCTTTTTTTTGTTTATTTTCAAAAAGCACCATAAGTTTTAACATGACTAAGTATATCATAATGTAGAAAACACTGTAATTATAACATTTAACTGCATGACTTTTTTATTTTATCAGTAGAACAAAAGCCAGTAAAGTGAAAGGTACAACATAAAGAATTCAGGTTGAATTGACTACTGTTTAAATAATCTAAAACATATAATTTAAATTAATACAATTTTTTTTTTAATTTCTAGAACATGTGGTACATGTGAAAGTATGTTCTACACAGTTGCCTGCTCAGTCCAAATGCTGCTCTCATGTAATGAGCATGATTTACAGCTTCCTCAAAGCCCTTCTTGAGTTATATTAAGTTTTTCTGTTTAAGGCTGGCCAATTAAACAAGACTTCAAGGGGCTGTTAGAAGTGAATTCCTGCTATCTCAACTGCCCTGGTCACATGTTGACCAGGGCAACACATGTTGACCCTTCCTGCTTTTGTACAGATTGTGTAATATATCCAATATACTGGGTTATGATGGCAAAAAAAATGAAACTTAAAAAAAATGTTACAGTTAGTCTTCTTTGGACAATAATAAAATCTTATAGCTAAACGTGTCCCTAAAGACCAGGTATCCCTTGTTATGTATGAGAAATCCCATATTCAGAGAAATCATGCTACTTAAAATGTTCATATCTTATATATAAAAATTTCCAAATTTGGCCTATTAAGTTCCTTATTACTGTCTTCTAATTTTTCAGCTGGATGTTTATAATTGGTTATTACAATTGCCTGTGTATTATGCACACTCTTTATAATTATAAGACTATATCCAGTGATTGTTAAATTGTAAAAATATATACAATGACTATAAATAGATAATCCAGCATAGTTTAGCAAAAGAATTAACCAAGTTTCAGACTTTGAATTGTTAATCATAAAAAAGTATTGTTTTAAATGCTAAAATAAAAAATGCAGCTCTTTAACCAATTTGGAGATACTTTTGAAAGGAAAGATTAGCAGAATTCTTTAAAGGGAATGCTATTTTATCATGGCATTTCTCTACTTACCACTTATATTCATTAGTGTTTTTTACATGCAATTTTAAAATTCATCTATTAGTCTTGTAGCTTCCCCAGGAAAACTTAAGACATCTCTGATAGCATTCACATGAATTATTCCTTCATATTGTTGTTTTCACATTGAAAAACACTTTCATTTCTTTTACTTAAACGGTATTTCTGCATTATATTAAATTCACTTCATCTTTCTGCATTAATTATATTAAATTCACCAGTATCAAATTAAACATTCAAATATAAGCCAGATTAAGGATATTTTTTAAAGTCATATACGTATTTATATGTGTATACATATGTACACACAGAGCCACATTTCAAAAAAAAACAAACAAAATTACACTTAATAGTTTTCAAACACCTTTCCAAATAAATTTTTTTCTATTCATTTGTATAAGGTTATAGATTTGATTTTCTTATGATAGTATAATTTATCTTTCAAAGACTTAGAAAGTGAAGAGTAAATTATGGAGCAAAGAATCCACACTTTGCCTTTTTGGGGTGCTTTTCCAGTCCTGCTGTTGTCCATGTATTTTATTTTAGGAGTTACTAAATGTCCTGTTTTTTCCTGTCTTGTTCATTGGGCAAACAGGGCTAGATGGTCCCCCTCCCTAGATAGGAGACGACCTCCTAGCCCCAGGATTCAAATCCAGCATGCATCTCCGGAGAATGACAGGTACTAGTCAATCCTCCTCACAGACAAGTGGCTTCCAGAGGCTTGTAGGCCACCAAGTGAAGGATACTCAAGAGAAATGTTACTTATGACATGCTTCCTTTTAGGGTCCAGAGCCAGATATGTTGTGTAATTCCATCAATATATGTATGTATCCACCGCTAATAAAGCACCTCAGAATGTTTACTGAAATGAGGGTAGCATGAAAATGCCATAGTTAAACATAGTAATTTCAAATCATTTGAAGAGTTCTGTTTCATTGAACATTTGCATCAGTGTTTTGACTTTCTGGAAACATTAAATGCTGTGTATTGTAAAATAAAATTCTCAGGTGCTTTAAAATATATTAAAATCTATCAGAACCTATTCTTTTGCTATTTTGGTTTGATCTTGGTTGTCTTGTTTTCTACATAAGTTTGTAAATTAATCAAGTTTAGTACTTAGGGTATATTATAAAATTCTGATTTAAAATAGCATACCTAATTAATATAGATTTAATGAATTTTGTCTTTTTAAAACAATATTGCCAAGGGTTAGGAACAGTCCACAAGGTAGGTTTTTAAAAATAGCACCAGTGCTTTTAATCCACCTCATGTGAATATGTCAGAAGTTCCACAGCATGTATTTTCCGTTGCTTATTAACTTTCTCAGTTGTAAATAATCCAATTTTCCTATTTTATAGTGTTCATTACATATTGTCCTAATCTTTGAATATCTTTTTACAACTGGCTACAAAAGATTGTAGGGTGTTTGGGGGTACTACTGGTATAAGAACAAAATCAGTAAACACTTTGGTAATATTTATTAAGTAGGTAAGAGTGGATAAGTATATGTGGTAGCTTAGACATAGAACTAGTCATGACAACATATAGGTTTTTTTTTTCTTTTTAAGTATGTGTGCATTTAGCCTTTGTTAAGACAGATATAATTTATTTTCTCTCTCTGTACATAGTTAAAATATCTTCAGGATTTTAATTTGAAAGAGAACTAAATACTGTCACCTCCCCCCCCAAAAATAGCGTTCTTTCATAATTGTTGGGGAAGACCACAAACTGATGTAGTAATATCTCATTTTTAAAATGGGTATATGCTATTCCTTCAATTTAATGCAAGTTAATTGTAAATAATTTATCTGATCCCTACAGTAATAAATTTAATGTTTTCTAAAACCTACTCTTAAATATATATAATTTCATATAAACTTTATGAAATCAAATAATGGAATTCATGTTTTTAAACAACAACTAATTTTGATTTATTCTCCATCTCATGTATGCATTTCTATTTCTATTTTGCTTAATCAGTGCCCAGATAAACTTGTATTTATATATTCATTATAAAACCACCATATTTACTTATTTTATAATTACATCATTTGTCAAGTTGAGGTAGCAGTAGTTTACAGAACTGGATATGATTTAGGGCTCTAGGTTCACCCCTCTTCAGATGTCTGTTACCAAATCACATCCCCCATCAAAGCACCCATAGTCCTCCATAAGTCCTTTGGTATCCATTCTCTTCTTTGTGGCTGAAGCCCCATCCTCTCCCTCTGGTAGCTTCAGTTTTACAGTCAGATTTTTTGTCTAGTAATTTGGAAAGTATCTGGTTGCTCTCATTTCCCATAGCATTAAATGTCTGTATGTGGTGTACCTGCATGCACATACAAAATGCTTAATGTACCATTTCTCCACAATTTTAAACATTTTTTATTTATTTTTAATTGAGGTAAAATTGTGCATCCCTGTCAGGAATTAACACCATAGTGCACCCACCATCAACTCACCCATATTCCACCACCATGGTCCATAGGGCTTCCTACCTCTTTGTTCTTATCGCTCCATCACCTCTTGCCCCAGTTGGTGCTGAAGTCAGCTGTCAAGGGTTAATTTTCAAGTTTGTCTTTATCTGACTCTTAGTTATCTTGTATTCCACATATTAGTAACACCATCCAGTATTTTTCTTTTTCCTCTGATTTATTGCACTTAGCATTCCCATTTCTTCATATTTTAAGTGATGTAATAAATTTGTAATTAGCATTAAAATAGATTGATCCATATCTAGGAATATTTCTAGAAGTTTTAGAGTATTTAAAACAATGATGAGGAAAATAATATAAAATTTATAGCTCCAGGGAATATTTCTGATTTTAAAATTATAGTGAAAAATTCCTTGTAGTTTTATTGCAAAAAATGTTAAGATTTTAAATGTCATTATTCCAGCAAAAAAGTATCTTTGTAAATATTATTTTAATATATAAAAGTAGCTTGAGTGCATACCTCTGTTTACTCATATCTATACAATTTAGATGTACTATGGCTTCAGATAGACCAAAATTTGTGAGTGGCAAGTTAGAGTACAAGTTTATTTTAATATGTACCTGAAGCATCAAGGGTTCTGAGTTTAGTGCTCATAGTGAATCAATCATCCATAAGTGTAATAGGCTAATCCACATCATCATCATCAGTATTATTATTATTATTGCCTAATTTAGCCTAAAACTATTTTGGTAAATGATTTTTCAAGTATATGTTCTTGCTTCATACATTTTGAGGTATATTTTAACACTTCATTAGTTTTAAATTACTGATTCCAACATTTTGACTGAGCATGGTTTTGCATCAATGCACTTATTTTTAAGGATGCAGTTTATTGCTGTGATTTTAATAAATACTTAAAATATTTGACTAAAAACTGTTTGCTAGAACTTTGAAGTAATGGGACAAATGAAGTTTCTTACTGTGTTTAAAATTAACTCCTTAATCATGCTACTAATGTAACTCTAATTTCTTCTGCAAGTAAGGAAATTTGTATAGTTTCCCTTACTTCTCACTTGTTACTTAGTAACAGTGACTTGCCAATAGGAAATTTTGACCCAGAGTTTCCAGTGGCATGTTTTATTTCAAAATGAATGACTCTTTCTTTAGCCAATCATACTGTTGCTGGATTGAAGAAATCACAGACTTTTTGACTTCCAAAATTCTTGGCAGTTGCCATGTAGATGCAGAGTTAATATAGAACTATTTATAAATTCAATATATTACTTATTTTAGTGTTCCATAGTGTCCTTTATTATCTGTGCTTTTAAAAATGTCCTTTATTTGCATGAATGAAATGTACATATACTTAGTCTTTTTAATAGCTATAGTGACACATGAATATTAATATACAAAATGATAAACGTATTTTAAGTTCATGAAACCATCTTCACGACATGTGAACATTTCTTGTTTAGGTAGATTCTATTCAACTTTAATTTTCTCAAAGCCTGTGAGGAAACAAGGTCATAGAAATTTACATATTCCAAATGTAGCCATCTAGATAGTCAATCAGAATATCTACAGATATCCTTTAATATGTGTTCATTCTGATTAAATGAAAATATTTTATGGTAGTTTTCTGTTATATTTTTCCCCTAAACAGAATGTACTGTGTTTTCATTTTATTATAGAACAGTCTTAAATAAAACTATCTTATGAATGTTAGTTTTATACTTTCACAGAAGTATAACTTAAAAAAACTGTTTACCAGTATCTTCAGGGAATTGCTCTAATTTAATTTAGTTATTGAGAAAGAAACAACAGTAGCACAGAAAACAGATTCAATAACTACCTTTATTTACATCAGTGTATTTATAAATCTTCAAACTTAAAAGAGAGAGAACAATTGAAAATGGAACTTAAAAATACCGTATTTGAATTCACCTCCACTTTTCTGATTATTACTATTGCTTTGATGTAACAATAAATTATTTGGATTTATACCTTATATTTGAAGATACCTTTATAAATCTTAAAGAATTCACTTGTATCCTGTTCATACAAAATGTAAGAGTAAAATCTTACAACTAAATTATATACAATGTTGTAAACAGTGTTACCTTATAAAAAACATAGTTATTATATTGTAAAGTAAAGGAGAAACTTTGGATTTTTGATTCTTGAAAGTCTAAATCAAAAACATATCCTTATGTGGGCATCCCTGGTGGTACAGGGTTTAATGCCTCAGTGCTATCAAGCTATTGCCAGCCACTGTGGCATGCAATAGGGAGCAAACCCACACGGTGCAGCAGGCATCTCCTGTCTCGCAGGGTGCTCCCCTCAGCAGTGTATTTCAGTAGATCTGCCTATTCTGCTCCCCATTCTGGTGACTCTTCTCACCCCTGCCCCTCGGGCCTGCACCCCAGTTCTTGTATGCATAAATAAAAATTAAAAAATATAATTTTAAAAGAATAGCCTTATAAACAGTAATAAAAATGATACAAAACTTAATAAAACAAAGCATATTGAAACCCAAAATAAATCAGACATCATAGAAACACTGTAATTCTGTTTTGTTCACTTCTGTTTAGAAACCCCTCCAATAAATAGCAAATAACTCAAAGTCATTGGTTGGCAGAGTGGGCAGAGAACCTAAGGACATGGGAAAATGGTAGTATTGTCTTCACTAAATAATTAAAGCCTATATTACCTTAAATTAGTCATTTAAATTTTCTGAGACTGTTTGCTCATCTGTAAATTCTGGTAGTTTTAGATAGATTAGCTGAATTTTAATGTCCCTAAGATTCTAAATAGTTGAGTATATGCTCCCTTTTTGTATTTTGGTAAACATACATTGGCCCAATAATAATGACTGATAGTTATTAAAAGCAATATCCAGAAGGTATTTCTTATTTATTTTATATTTCGCTCCAAACTCTATAAACTATGTGGTTTTATTTCTAAGTTTATGTCAGATGAATTTACAACCCTTATGTAACTTTACAGCCCTTATGTAAATTTTTACTTACAAATTTTTAGAATCTCAATTTCCAGGATAATACTGTAAATATTACCGGTTTAACCATCCGTGCAAAAAATACTCACTGAGGGCCTCCCCGGTGGCGCAGCGGTAGAGCGCTGGGTTGCGAAGCTGCCCACGGCCTCTACGGCGACGGTTCAATCCCCGGCTGCTCCCCGGCCGCCGGAGGAGGGTCCCACATGGCGCGCAGACCTCTCCTGCCGCCCGCTGCTCCCCTCAGCAGTGTGCTTCGGTCCTTCTGCCTGCTCTGCTCCCCGCTCTGGCTCTGGTGAATTCTCTCACCCTCCCGCGCTTCTGACTGTACCCAGTGCATGTATAAACAAAACAAACAAACAAGCAAACAAATAAATAAAGAAAAACATGCCTCTATAAAAAAAAAAAAAAAAAAAAATACTCACTGAGTAGTTACTATGTGCTCAACTTTAATGTTACAGTGATAACTTCTGACTACAAGAAACTTAGAGTGATAAAAGAACTTAGAGTGATTTCAATAGTATAGCATCTGAATATAGACCATCATTCTAACCTGCCTTGTTTTACATACCACAAACCTTTATTCCAGAAAATATCTGTTTAAAGCAAACAGTATATTCACAGCTATAACTTAGGATCTGAGGTAGAAAAGAGATTGTAATTTTCTCTTTTCTATTCTTGCTTTGCTCTGAATATTACAGTCAAATTTTTATCAATTTAACTCAATTTAAGGATTCTTTAAGTATTCAGAAAAATTGTAAAGACATAGCCTTTATAGAAATCTTTAGAAGGATCACCACTGAAAGTAAGTCTGTATGGCATATGAAGAGGACAAAGGATATTCTTAAAAGCAAAAAGTTATATGTGTGAACCCCTGCATGAATAGTTGTCATTCAGTTATAGAGTGCTGACTCCGAGTTTGATAGTCTTCTAGAAGAATACTAGTCATTACATTCAAGAAAAAAAAAATGCATGTTATTTATAATAAAGCTTTTAGAAGATTTACCTTTGCTATTTTTAGTAATGCTATGACTACAATAAATACTTGTTTTGTGTCATTTGTAAATAGTACAAATGCTGTCATAAATACTCCATAGTATTGAATATTTGCAATTAACAAATCCTTGAGGTGGTAGTAGTAGTAGTAGTACTTTTGCCATTTTGCTGGTGAAACAAAAAGAGATCCAGAGAGAGTAAGTAATCTGAAAAAATTCACCCAGATGGACAGAAACACAGCTTGGTTAAACCTAGACAATACAGCCCATGCTTTTAGTTGCCATATTCCACTGTCAGTTGTGCTACAGATGCAACATGTTCGTTGCTATTGAGATTATGTACACTCACTTCCGTGTTTAACATGTAATGACTGTGAGTTAAAGGAAATTATTTAGCCTTTCTAAGCACCAATCTCCTTATTCTTAAGAATTAGAGTAGAACCTACCTCATTGAATTGACAAGATTGGGTGAGATATGCAGCAAGTTCCTTGTAAATGTTGGATCTTATTAGTATCATCATCATCTTTATTGTCATCATCATTGAGATGAGATAAGGAAAAAGAGCTGAGAGTTTTACAGGGGGTGTGGAAATATTAGTTTTATGTGAGATCAGTTAGGTCTAGAAAGATTTATAGAAATTGATAAGGTTAGGACAAGTTTTTATAAATGGATATAGTCCTTTTTGGAGCGAGGTAATAAAGTTTATAAAAAGGTCTCTAGATTCTATACAGCCCTCGATCCCTATCCCAAGACTTTTAAGTCTCCTGACTTTTTGGTCTTCTTACTTTACCTTGAACCTACCAGGCACACCCTGCCTTAGGGCCTATGTGCTTGCTGTTTCTTTTGCCTGGGATACCTTTTCTTTAAATATATACAAAGCTAATTCCTTCACCCAGGCCTTTGCTAAAATGTTACCAATTCAATGAGTTCTGAGCACTCTCCTTAAAATTGCAATCTGTATCTATCCCAAAACTCCCACCTCACCCTTATATTTCTGATCTTCCTTACTCTGGTTTACTTTTTGGTATTAGCCTTCATTGCCTTTCAAGGTACTGTAAGGTACATATTTAAGTTATCTATTATTGTTGATTATTGTTAATCTTCTACTGATAAAATGTAAATTGTGTAAAGGTGGTTCTGTTTTGTTCACTAACAAACCCCTTGCACCTAGAACAGTGCCTGGCATATATACAAGCTCAAAAATACTGGTTGAATGAATGAATGAGTGAAAACCCTTAATAATAGTGAGTTTTATGAATTGACCTAAAACGGTGTGCTCTCATTCTGTTCTTACTCTGCTGAAGAAGAGAAAAGAAATGTTTGTTATCCAAGGTAGTTGTTATTCCGGAGCACTCTTGCAACCAAGCATAAATTTTCCATAATGATATACTACATTTTATGTGAAACTCAAATATCTACTAGGCCTACAGACCTTCTTGCTCTGCCTGTCTCCTCCTTTCTTCGGCAGCCTCTGCTACATGTATGCCTTTCCTTTCAGGGAACAGACTTCTTCCAACAACCATCCCCCACTAATTTCAGACATATGTTATGTACATGTGATTCCCTCTCCTGACCATAGGATCAACAGTCAATAAACTCCCTATTAATATCACACAGCCTTTTTGCTCTTTCCCCAGACCTTTACCAGATTTTATGTTTCTCTCACTCTTAAAGGTGCATGCATAAGGCATGCATCAGAATCAACCTCTCGTCTCTGTGCTGGGCAATATGTAACAGATTTTGGAGCCAGACAGACTTGCATTCTAATTCCAACTCTGGTGCTTAGCAACCTAGTGGCCTTGCCCTGAGCTTACTTCCTCACCTGTAAAATGAAAATGACATTTTCATTTTCATAAAAGTTAAGTAAGTCATTGTGGCCCTCAGTGCTCAGCATAGTCATCCTTCATTGTGTCTCTTTTTTCCAACTACTGGTTAAGGAAAATTGCAAGCGAGAGATGTTTCCCATCTCTGCCTCATTCCTTTTTTCATTGCCTCAAAAGTGAAATATCAGAATAACAGAAGACTGAAGAACACACTCTAGAAACCCTTAGTTGGAGGGGCAACATAGTATGAACCCATCCTTTGTAGTCACAAAAAATATGGGAAGAGAGAGGCAGCCCCCAAAAAAGTATAGACCTTGTGAAACAGACTTTATACTTTGACATGTTTCTGGTGTTGCGGGGCTTGACAGGTACTAGACTTCTCAGGTGGGATTTGTGGCATCAGTATATAGTGACAGACATGTGTCTCCTTAATTTTGTTGGATGGGAGGAATATCAAAGTATAAGCAGAAATTGTAGGGAATCAATTATTGAGATGAAAATACACAATTACTGAGGTAAAAATGAACATTATCTTTTGTTTTCTCTGTATACTTTTTTAAATAAGCTTTTTTCTGGACCACAGTGTTGTATATTTAAAAAAATATATTAATTCAGGGCCTCTCTGGTGGCCTAGGGGTTAAGTCTCAGTGTTATCACCACTGTGGCATGTGTTCGATCACCGGCCAGGGAGCTAACCCACATATGGTGCAGCAGACCTCTCCTGTCTCTCCCACTGCTCCTTTCAGTAGTGTATTTCAGTAAATCAGACTGTTCTGTTCCCTACTCTGTCTCTGATGGGTCCTCTTACCCCCCGCACCCTTGGCCTACATCCCAGTTCTTCTACACAAAAAATATATATAAATAAATGTTATATATATATATATAAAATTCCAAACACATTTTAGGTTGAATAGGCATGTGTAAGCTAACTTGGAGGAGATAAGCTCTCTCTTTGCAAATATTCATTATATGGGAAAATGTGTTTCTGATTCCAGGTACTCAGTGTACTTTTGGAACAAAGAGTAACCTGGGAACTTCATTAGCTTTTAGATTTGTGATATGTGATTGTCTTCTTTAGTTACATGATTTCAAATGCATTTTTATGATAACTTTGAACTAATGTTAATACTTGATTTAAGAAAGTTTTGCTTATGTCTAATTTTTCACTATAGTATTTTTCTTCTCTTCATAAGTGGGAGGGGAAAAAAAAGAAAAAGTATTTGTAGTACCAAGTTTCAACTTGCAAATGTGAGGGCACTTCACCCTTTTGTGGTCTTTCAGCACCTAAATCATTATTATCATCACATTTTTCACCCCTATATTTCCCCATTGAATTTGTTTACTCATTGGAAAAGGCAAAGTTGCTCAGCATGGATTCATAGTAGATCATTACCTTAGAGTGACCTGTCTAGACTGATGGAATGTTGGCTTTATGTGTCTCCTGTTGGGCAACTTGTGTCTTCCATACAGCGCCAGTTCTGATTTTTAATTTTATTTGTTTTTTTTTTTTATTTTTATTTTAGAAAATACTAACTGACAAAGCCATTTAGGTAATATGGTTACCATTTTTCATACCTTGCTTTGATCATTGTATGATAATACTGTAGCTTTATTCATCATATATTTTGTATTTCTTTAACATTTCATTCCACAGGCACTCCAGAAAGTCTGAAAGATCTAGCATCCAAAAACAGACTAGGAAAGGCACTGCCTCTGATGCAGAAAGGTAGGCTTGGTGTTGTGCTGTGCAGCCATCTTCTGTTTTATGAATATAGTTCAGGGGTTCCTGTACTCTTACTTTATATGATCAGTTTTCAAAACACAAATGCAATGTTTAAAGACATTCGTGTAAATGAATCTCCTGTATGGGAAGCATACAAAAAACAAAAGAAGGGTAATTTGAAGGCAGCCATAAATCTTAGGGCTTTAAGAAAATTGCATGCATTTCTCTAAATGGATTGTCTACACTGATTCCTATAGGCATATTAAGACATTAATATTTTGCTTCTGAGATTGTTTTAATATTACCAATGAATACAGTATCTGAAATATGCAAATACTTTGAATATCTGTTATTAATCTGAATGATGTCATCTTTCTCTAAGAATCTCCTTTCTACAAGTGGGTGATCTAAGGTTCTACTTCTATAATGAAATCAAATTTATTTGCTGAATTAGTGTAGGAATTTTAAGGAGTTACTGAACTTTTGTATTTTTAGGAGTAAGATACATTTTTTTCCATAGTTATAAAAAAGTCCTAAAATCCAATAAACATATATCCATCCATCCAGAAATTCTTGAGATCATATAGGGTGACAGATTTAAATGAATAAGTACATCTAAGTGCCATAGTTTTCATGGAGCTGTGTACCAGGTATAGTGAGAATAAAAATACAGGGGAAAGATTGAAGACAGACAAGATTAGGAAATGTTTCATAAGCAGGTAAAGTGAAATCCAGATATTAAAAGTAGATGTAAAAATTAGACTATTCCATGAGAAAAGAATCACTGTGAGCAAAAATAAATGACTGGTTCAAGAACATGTGGTATATATACACAATAGAATATTATTCAGCAATCAAAAAAGATAAACTCATGCCATTCGCAGCAACATGAATGGAGCTAGAAGGAATTATGCTCAGTGAAATAAGCCAGAAGGAAAAAGAAAAATATCAGATGGTTTCACTTATAGCAGGAATATAGGGAAACCAAATAAGACATCAGTGTAAAAATAATGACAGTACAAAACACAACAAAGCAAAAACAGACAATTATAAACCAGAGACATACTGTAGGGGAGGAGGAGGGAGAGGGATCAGAGGGAGAGAGGGAGGAGCACAGGGGACTGAGGTGATGATACATGGGTGCCTTGGGGGAGGAAATTCTATGGGGACTACACCTGAGGGGATGGGGGGAAGCAAATATTGTCTAAAAAATTTTTAAAATGATAAATGTTAAAACAAAAATAATAATAAAAAAAAATCACTGTGAGGAAACTGAAACTTGAAACATCCTCTTGAATTGGAGGAAATCATACCTATTTGGAGAGGAAGAATGGGATTCAGGAGATGCGAGACATTGTATACACTCCTTAGAGGGTATATTCTGAATGACCTTGCAGGACATACTACAGAATTTCAACAACTTCTTTCTTCACTCAGGAGCCATTGATAGACCTTAAACATGGGTGGTAGATGACTGATCTTGAGTTTCACAATTATTTCTCACTTTGGCATTTGAAAAGTAGATTGAAAGATCCAAGGTTAGATGCAAGGCTAGCTGTTAGGCTATCACAGTAGGCATGGGCAAGACAGAAACTCTGCAATTCACTGATTCTTTCAGTTAACAAATATGTGCCAAGGGCCTCCCCCGTGGCGCAGCAGTTGAGCACTGGGTTGAGAAGCTCCCCACAGCCTCTGCAGTGCCGGTTCGATCCCCGGCTGCTCCCCAGCCACCAGAGGAGGGTCCCACATGGCGCGCAGACCTCTCCTGCCGCCCGCTGTTCCCCTCAGCAGTGTACTTCGGTCCTTCTGCCTGCTCTGCTCCCCACTCTGGCTCTGGTGAATTCTCTCACCCTCCCGCGCTTCTGACTGTACCCAGTGCTTGTATAAATAAATAAATAAATCTTTAAAAAAAAAAAACAAATATGTGACAAGCTGTGTTCTAAGTTTAAAGTACAAATAGTGATCATTTGTGTAGATTTGTTTGATTGTTCTTTATTAATTTTTATTGGAGTATAAATTAGATGCCTTGTTTTAGAACTAGTTGTTGAATAGCTTGTTATAAAAAAGAATTGACCTGGATTTTATCAATTTACATTAGCTTTCAATTCTTAAGTTACCTTAAGTCAACATTTGACTGCAGGTGAAGCATAGTCACAGTATGAATCCTACTCCAATTCTTAACATTTAGGAGTTAACTTTCCCAAAAGAGTAATGCCACACACTGGCATTCCTTGGCTATGTAATAATCAAAATTTTGAAGCTCCTTTGTTGGTCTCAGCAAATTTGACCTTATGAGGAATAGCCTTGTAAGGAAATATTTTGAAAGATACAATGACCAGTTATGCATAGGAGAAAGGCAGAACTAATCTCTGACTTTTGTGCCTTGCCATTAAAAACAGTGCTTCACATTCTCTTGGGAAACTCCTTGTGAGATAAAAGCCTCGCTTTTCATTCTTTGTGAATTCAGCTATATGAACTGCTGGCACCATTTCTGCATTTGACTTTAGTGATTTCTTTTCTTGTGAAACATATATTCTGTGCCCCAACTGGGGGAGGGGGGTGGGCGGAGACAGGGACAGTGGGGGGTTTATCATAACTAGTATTTACAATTGCTTAATTTCAATTTATGTTGTGCTTGGGCTATTGGGAAGAGCTTGCATAGGCATATAATGGCCATTGCAGGAGGAATCTTTTGAAGAGTGGACCTTAAATACTACATATATGTCCAGCTTTTAACAAATTGTTAAAAAAAAAATTACCCATAAAACAAAAACCACACCATATTTTTAGGATATCGTTGAAGTGATTTACTGCTAGTTCATATGTAGCAAGAAAAATATATATGGCTTTGATAAGAAATATGTTTTACGTAAGCTCATTCAAAACATCAGTTTTAGGTAAAGATAATACACATGGATTGGACTCTGGTAATAATAAATATTCAGAATAGATTCAGACATACTTAGGTATGAATTAGAATTTTAATGAGAAGTTTTTTTGTGTATAAAGAAATTGTGAGATCAAAGGGCAGAGTATTCATTAAACAAAACTATCAGGAGAAAATTTTGTTTAGTGTTGCCAATTTGATAACTTGAAATAAATTTATATATTGTTTTATAAGATTAACAGTATACATGGAGACATGAAATTAGGTTTTTTTTTGGTCTTAAAGGGGAAAAAAACCTCTCATAGGCAGTAAAGAGAGCAAATATAAGAGCTTGACAGACCCTTGGAAATCCTGCCTTTATTACATGTAGGCTCATTGTCTTTTTTGAAGTCACTCTGCGAGCCTCATTTTTCCATCTATAAAATAGGAACAATAGCTTCTCAGAGTTATTGTGATAGTATTTATCACACATATACACACATACCTTCAGTGCCTGGTGTTTTTAGATAACTTTGTATTGATGCTTGTAAAGAATAGTTATTACTATCATTTTAATTATCCCTAACTCACTTCCTGATCCATTCTTTACTATGACTGTTCTTAATCTCATTCTTCTTACATCCTTATCTTTTTAGCACATCCCATTTCATTGAAAAGATCTAGGCTTAATAGCCTAGATTTTGTCAACATTTCACTCCCATATCTTAGAATTTCTTGATTATTTCTCCTTTCCTTTTGTCTGAAATAGACTCTACTTAGTTCTATTATATTTCATCTACAAAACTTTAACTCTTCTCTCTTCAAGTTCTACATTTTCATTCTCTGTTTCCTCTCTTTGAATCACCCTACTGCCATACCCCTATCTCTCTTCCTTAGGAAAAGTGGTTTTCTATGACTCCCTTTGGTCTATGCTTTCATACTTGGTATAGTTTTTGTCATTGATGAACTTTTAGTTTACTTCGAAGTACAGACAGGTCTTGTGCTAACTGATTAACCAGAAACATGAAACTTTGTTTGAGGCACTGTTAGCCTGTGACTTGGGAGATGGGAAAACTCATGCTTTTAAGCTATGTAATATTCAGCAATGAAGCCATTTATTTATCCCTGAAGGTTTTATTTTTTCCATATATCTATATTTTTTCCATTTTGTTTAGTGGCATATAAAGTCCACTTAGATTATTCACATATTCACAAAACCACATTTAAGTTGTCCTTCCAGTGCTTATGAATTACATTAAGGGATAAAGCAAGATTAGTGACATTGCAAGATCCATAAAATTTCTTAGTACTAGGGTGAAAACTATATTATTTAGTTTTGAAATCACATTTATAAAGTGCACTTTGGACAAGGCATGATTAAAGTTTATTCTGTTGAAGATTAATAGCTAAAATCCTACATATGTGATTGTTGGAAAGGACTTGCTCGCATAATTCTTTCCATATAAGTTGAAAAGTCAAAGTAGAAGGAATGAACAGTTTTAATATGTATTGCCCTGTTTGTCCTTTTTTGTTTTAATTTGGAAATCAAGGTGACAGTCTAGGTTTCAAGATCTGCATTAAGGTCTGATAAAGCATTAATCCATAACTCCAGAACATAAAATGAAATTTATTAAATGCCTAAGTTGTACCATTTTATCCTCAAGACTGACACTTTCCCATCTTATTCTTCTGAAGTAGAGGATATTCCATGAATCAAAATAATTATAACTGAAAATTTATTTTATCTAAAAGAAAAGTTGTCAATCCAAATACAAATTGGATAAAGCCCTCAACAATTGATATACTTTTTGTGATCAGCATATGTTCTTTACTCTCCCATACATGAATTTCTTCAATAAGTAAACTTTACAGCATTAGTTTAAAAAGTGAAAGATGTTACTTCATTGTTTCTATCACTGAGAAATAACTCATGTTAAATGTGCATTTGATATAAAATTTGCACTGGAAATAATGAAAAAGGCAAATGCATGTATTTTTTTAAACAAGTATATATGTAAGCATAAATTTTTAAATCTTAATCTTTAATTTGTAGACAAACTTCAAGAATTTTGAAAACTATATTAAGATTACTGTCAACATCAACATATGGACAAGTAACTTTTCACATTTTTTTATATTTTAGATGACATGGTTTATTCATATATCAGTCATATGCATTTAATCTGTTCAATAGTAAGCATTCTTTCATATTATATTATTTTAATTTATTGTTCGCCTTAAATTAACCTCAGAAGACATTTCTCTTTTACTACTTATTTGGTATAGACTTCCTTGTTGCAGGGTAAAAATATAAGCATTATAAAAATGTACATTGTTCAATAGTTCATTATTTCATCTTAAAGGCAAATGTGGGAAGTATATCTATATTCTTTATTCTAACTATATTCACTCATTCAGTCAAGTTATCTTTATTGAGCTCTTGTTCCCTGTGCAGCTTTGTTCTAAGCACCAGAGATACTGCTCAGTAAAGACAAGAGAAAGAAATCTCTGCTCTTAGGGAACTTAAAAGGTCTGTTACATTGGAGGAATATAGATTAGCCCTCCAGATACTACATGGCATGCACATATTGCAAAAACTTGTGAATTTGATGTGAATTCCATTTCAGTAATTGCGTGATGAGTTACCTCTGGTTTTTAAAGTCACTGTCTATAGGAGTAACCAACTCTTCCTTGGACAAATGTGTTGGTATCAAAGTTAATGTGAACCTGCTGACTCAAGATCTTTTTTGACCCTAATGTTTTAGGGTTCTCCCACCATGTCTTTCTAGAAGGGGATACGCAGCCCCAAGAGCGACTGATCATCCAGTCTTTAGGGGAAAACATCCCGCTCGCTCAAGGTCGAGTGAGCACTCTAGTGTCAGAACACTGTGTTCTATCCACCACCTTGCCCCAGGAGGGTCGGCGCCACCTTCTCCGCTTCTGACAAGGTCGCTATTCAGTGTCCAGCCCAGCATTCATGTCCTGCCTCCGGGTGTTGGTGTGGTGTTGTACCTTCCTGAGCACTCGATGCTTTCACTCATTATGACACCATGGTTTTTAATCCTTTCTTTGTGACACTTAAACCTCTCCCACATCCTCTATTAACTGCATCTATCTTCACTGTGCTGGTGGTATTCTATAGTTCCCACCAATTAGCTCTCATTGAAAATTAAATTTGGCTGTGTTATGTCCTTCCATCCGTTCGTGGCATATTCATATATGATTTTTTAATATGTGAAATTCTTTATAAAAATTATCTAGAATTAAATAAGTATTTGCTTTAAAAAGTAAGAGGAATTTATAAAAAAAAAAAAACTTGCATTTATGTTCAGGAAAATCTTAGAGTGTTTTAAATTTCTTCAGTTAAAAAAATGTTCAAGTGCCAGTAGATGGAGGTGAGCATCCTCCTGTGCAATACTAATGTATCTGCACACTTTTCAGACATTCTATTTGTAATTTTGATAACCATCCCAGTTGAAATCATCATATGTGCCCAAGGTGATATTTTAAAAATATCTCATTCTTTTCTATTTAAAAGTACCTATCAAGTGAATGGTAGGTTATAAAGTCTGCAGCTAGAACAAAAAATACGAGATACAAATACTGATTTAATAGTAGCAGTTTAGAGAATAGTCTATCTAGACTAATTTATCAATACAGATAATAAGATACAGAAGCTGTAATTAAATATTTGGTTTAGTGCTAGCCAAAATGAATAATAATGGAAAGCCACAACTTCAGAGAAAGTTGATGAAAGGAAGAGAGTCCAGTTCTACTGTTCAAGAGTTCAGTTTGTAGGACTGTGTGACAGACATTGCCCTGTCTCTTTTAGCAAATTTTGTATCATTCCCTTACATATATCAGAAGCATTTGATTTTGCTTCTGAAGGCCCAGTTTTAGGGGTTTAGTGTCTGTTGTCAGGCACCATTAAAGTTTCATCATTTATATCCCCCCTTTGTTTTTTGCTCACAGAATGCATCGACAAGGAAGTCCAACCCGGTCTCCTCCCACAGACGCATCCTTCAGCAGTCGAAGGGGAAGACAGCTCCCACAAGTGCCAGTGAGAAGCGGCAGTATAGAACAAGGTATCCAATAATCAGAGACCATTGTCCAAAAATCTTGGATTTGAAAAACACCTCTTTTTGTACTCCTTTTATTAAATGAGTAGTATTTTTTGACTATATGTAGTTTTCAAATCCTAAGTTTCTGTTCCTTAGAATTTGTTTCCCAACACCTAGTTATAATGGTTCATGGCACATACACTGTTCCTGCTGATGAGTGATGAATGAATTTTGGATGGTCAATTAAGAAAATGGCTTGAACTCTAAAAGCACCTTTTTTCAAGAGATCAAAGGAAACAAAATTTTAAAATTCTCAGTAACGTGGTATTTTACGTATTAGAAGATTTAACCCTTTTTCTAAATACTTGATCGTATTGAAATCTTTATTAGTTTTTTTTTTAACTTAACTTGCAATATGCTGTGTTTTTATGAGAGCACACATTTTGGTGGGATTTTAATAGCCAGTTTCTCAATTTCCCTTATTTTAAGCATGTACATATTGTGTTTTATGAAGGGGATGTGAGAGAGAGAGAGAGAGAGAGCGTGTGAGAGAGAGAACATGTTGTGTTTTATGAAGGGGGAGAGAGAGAGAGAGAAAGAGAGAGAAATGAGGTATCTTTGAAAACAGAAATTAAATTCACTGAACTACCAAGGAATGAGTTAAATACTGGGTTTAAAATAGTCAGTTTTGTTAATGTGACCAAATGTGTTAACCCATTTCTCAGTAAATGAAAGGATTGTTATCAGTATATGTTGTTACATAAATATTATCAAGGATTTGTTGCATAATTCACTATAAATGCAATGGATTTATATTTAAAACATGTATTGAAAATCGCTTCTATGAAAAAACTGAAAGGTTAACATTTGTTTTTTTCAACAGTGTTGTTTGTCGCTGATGTAAAATTTGTGTTTCATTCTATATTGAGAGCGCTGGGTATGCATTTTGCTCAATTAATTGAAGTGCTTTACTGAATATATCACAGAAATATTGAAGATAAATATGTTGTTTCAAATGGCAGAATTTGCAGGCAGAATACTTGGTTATAAAAAAATTGGGGTAGATTTTAAGTAGCACCGGCTTACTAATAGAGATATATGGCTGCAGTAAACTCGGGGTTTGTATTATTTTTAAAACTCATATATCCCATAGATCAATCACATTTTAATATTCCGCATTGTTATAAGGGTGTCAGGAAAAATCATTCTTTGTGAAACTCTGGCTTTCTTTTCTGAAACAATTCATTGAAATTTTCAATTCATGCTTTCTTTTTTTCTGGGAACATTTTGAGAAGATAAGATATAATTATTCTTATTAAGACTAGCAATAGCCATGATGAAATTGTTTAAATTTATATTTAAAAATAAAATTTGGTGTTTATTAATTATCTATTAATGACCTCCTGTTGCACAACTCAAATAACTACCAATATTGATATTTAGCTACAAACTCAGTGATACTTACCATGTTTTGTTAAAGACTAATATCTAAAGGTTACGTATTCCTAAAATTCTTTGCATTTCCTCTAGTTACGAAAACACTCTAGATTCAAAAGCATATAAGGGTACTGCATATACTCTCATAGTATGAAATTATTTTATTTCTGTTTAAGAATTGTTTCTACAAACTCAATCGGATTGTATACTGAATTAAAAAAAAACTCATTCTGTTGTTAATATGCACATTACTGTTTATGACATTCCTATTCACAGTTGTCTTTCAGAAAAATCATAGGATTGAATTGAGGTGGGAAGAAAGGAATGACTAAGGATGAAATTGATGGAGATATTTTGATATTTACTATCACAAATACACTTGTAAATTACTTCTTATTATTTGAGGTTCCTGAAATTTATGAGCTAAGGATCATATAGATATAGCCTTTTAAAAATGTCACAACTGATATGTATTGTATCTAATTATCATCTTCTATAATTAAAATAGGTCTGATTTACTTTATGGTGTTAACCTGTGCTTTGGGACTTTGGGAAATGATGATATTGTCCACCAATCCTCTTGTTATGGATCTGTTTCAAACTGAACAAACATTGCTATCTTTGTTCTAAAATGTGTTTTTTAAAGTAAACAATTAATTAGACTTACAAGTTAGAATTTCGCACATTCCACTTAAGATTGATTTCACTTTTGTTCCTTAGGGCTATCAAATTATGCTGTATTTTTTCTTTTGATATTATTTGTTAAGCTTTTTCTATGAAGATAAATGCTGAAATGCAGTTTATTTGCATATGCCCTTGACTTCTTTCCAGTCTTCCTTTTGTTTATTTTTAATAGAGGGTAGTTTTCTTTTTTAAAAAATTAAATAACTGAATTGATAGGCAATTGACTGATAAAAGCAAATATTCTAAATGGTTTAGACTTCTGGATGATAATACAACTTGATGAACTTATAAAATAATTTTATTCATGTACAGTTACTATATGCATGTTGATTTTAGGACTATTAGACTGCTACACTGAATGAATTTTTCCCCAGTTATTCAGTGTTAATACTCTCACTTTGTGCCATGGAATCAGTATACATTGTTTTAAAGACTAGTGTATCATTTGAAAATACATATTTATTTTAAGTTTTAAAAATTACAAATGCTAGCATACTTCATCCCTGGAATCTGACTATATTTAAAGAAAAAGAATGGTGATTGCAATACAAATTTTGAGATAAAGTTACTGAAAGATAGCCTTAAAGTTTGCATAATGCTAATAGTTTGTGGTAATGGAGAACAGAGTCATCTGAGAAATGTCTCTGGTTATGTTCCAATCTTGTATTCCAGTGTAGCTCTTATGCAGAATGAGTCTGAAAACAACATAATTGGTGTTTTTTTTTAGTTTTCTGAAACCAACTAGATGTTCTTTTTGTGTGTGCTCTACTGAATGTCTTTTAAAGAAGAAGTGTTCAAAGATCATTCATAAACTATACTTGGTGTGTCAGTAAGGTTTATGTATTCTTTTATTACATCTGCTATGTAAAACTCTAATGATATCCCCCTTCTGAAATACCTAGGCAGGACTAAATTACATCACAGTAAATAGTGTAGTAACAAGGAGGAAGATATAAATCCTTATAAAATGTCTAAGTACAGTCTCCAAAAACAATATCACCTTGAGATATTTTAATATAATTAATTTGAGAAGAAAGAAAGGATTACCTGAATTAGAGTATATTTTTTTCCATGTGGAAAATGTTATGGAATATTTTCCATGGTGAGAAGTAAATGACTACTATTTATTGATATATATTTATTTTTTATTTACTACATGTTTCAAATTTCCTGAAATTCTATCATTCTGAAAATGATAAAATTTTTATTTGTGAATATTAAATATACTAACTACATTTACAATAAAAAGTCACAGTGGACTAAAAAGAAAATGTTTAAGAATTGGTGGTAAAATATATGCATTCTTAAAATGCAAGAAAAAATACCATATTTTCAAATGCCAAACATATTAATTTCCCAATGGCTTTGTTTTTATTTAAAATCTTTAGATCATTGAAATCATTCTTTCTTTGATTAATTTTAGTGCCATATTTGAAACTTCCTCATGATTTGTCATTGCTATTTACCATGTCACATTATATGTTATACATTTTTATTATTCATGCCATTGTGTTGTTTGACATTTCTGTGTCTAACTATAAATTTGCTGATTTCTTTCTTTTGTTTCCATCATTATGTGCATTTAATTCATTGAAGAACAAGAAAAATATAACTCTTCCAGAAAAGGTAAATATTAATGTAACTTTTTAACCATTTAATATTGTTCCTTTTCTTTTATAATAGATGAGCTATGAACTGTATTTACTGAAAAAACAAAGAATATTATTTAACAATTTTTTCTGAAATTATTCCATAGGGCATTTTAGTATTCTTTTATGATGTAAGCAGTTCATATCAAAGAGGAAGAGATTACCTTACAATTAAGTGTATTTTTGTTTCAAAATTTATTGACCCACACTGATAACTGTTATCTTTGGAAAATAACTTTGTTTCATTTGTTTGTATTCTCCTCCTCTCATAGATAATGGGTTTAATTCTTATCTTTTGTTCAGTTGACATTTAGTGTAAAGGAGTAGAAAATCCCTGGACTTTTCCCACTTAGATGAGCAGTAACCTTATTGAGGATTTGGCCCCCACTGTATTATGCATCTGCCTAAATATTAACCCTCTCATATTCAATATTGATTTAATACTCATTAATTCTTCTTGTAGGAGTTAGAGGGAGAACTGTTTGGCCTACTGTGTTGACATATTGCTGACCCAAGTTTACTGTCTTTTGGGTCACATTTGATATTTGTAACTTGAGAATCAGCTATGTGCAGACCGCATTCCACTCCCATATGCCACCCACAGCATTTCCTACTCAGAGCTATTGTTGACCTAATAATTAAATATTGAAATGATTTTTCAGCCTGATGTTGATAGTACTTTTATATAATCCTATACAATTTAATAAAAGTACATTTCTCAGTATTTCAGTGTGGCTAATGATTGGATTAGTTTGTTGTCCATAGCAATAGTAAATGTTATTCCTGCTGGTAGCATCCTCCCTATTTTATGAAGGATGAAATTCAAGTTCACAGAGAGAAATAGATTTTCCATAGACACTGCTGGTGAGTAGTATACAAACCAGGTTTCTCAAACTCTTTATACTGCACTTTATTGTATCCTATTTTAATAGGCAGAAATTCCAAATATGTGAACTATAGCTCCAGATATATTGAGACATTTATTATATATCTCATTTTATATAGTAAAATTAGGAAATAATAATATTCTGTTATCTATTTCAGTTTGAATTTATAAAAATATAATTATGCTTAAATTTGGGCACATAAACACATAGATAGATATTCTGACATAGTGTCTGCAATACTGAGCAATAATCACATATTAATAAAAATAAAACATTCAATGAGATCAAGATGTTTGGGTTCCTAGATTTTGTATAAATTTCTAGCAACCCTACAGTTCTAAATCAGATACAAGAAACACAACTTTAT